GGTCACTGACTTATTTGAAATCTTCCACTACATGAAGTCATCTTGTCACTGTAAACACTTGCTTTTCCAGTGATAATCATATCATCCTTTTCTTTTTTGTAGCAGTTCTGGTGAGGAAGGTACAAAGAGGAATCAACAGCAGAACCAAGTTGGAACAAAGAGAGGAACACACTTAAGGATTAGAGACTCTTAAGAGTATGGTATAAATTGTTACCTTTAGGGCAGTCATTGAATTTTATTCACATTCAGTCTAGAACCTTTATTTTTTCTCAATTAAAAATTGATATTATGATCTAACCCCCCCCCCCCAACCTGGATTGAGGTTTTTAACAGATCATACCAGTGTCCCAAATAGTGTTTACCATGTCTTATCTCATTCAATTCCACATTCTAAGGATTATTAGAAAAATGAAGTAGTTACTCACATGGAGTGGGGAAACTTTTATTTTTTACTTCATATACTCCTAAACCATTTGAATTCTTTTTACATCACTATGTCATTAGAATAAAAAAAATTCCATTTCCTACTGAGCTAAGTACAAACTTGTCATCTTGGCCTTCAAGGTATTGGCAAATATGGCCCTGGTCTCCTTTTCAATTTTAATCCCCTATTTCCCTAAGTGTACTGCTGTCTTACACTCTTAGCAAACTATCCCACACAACTCTTTTAACCACTTAACTGACAACACACTAGCAAAGTTATTCTCCAATATCATCGGAGTAGCACTTCAGTTCTCCCTCTCAATGAAGTTGTGTACTAATAAAGGGTATCTGTGTTTGTTCAAAAACAACTTATGCCAGTCTGCTAATTATTATAAATATATAATTTAATGAAGTATTGTGTAAAGCAATGAAGTATAGATGAGAAGAGAAAAACAACAGCAGCAGCTAAAATTAATTGAGTAGTTACTACCTGCCAGGTACTGTTCTAAGTGCTTTACATGAATTAACTCATAATCTTCACAGGAACCCTAAGAACTAGATACTATTATTGCCCCTGTTTTAAAAGGAGGAAACTGAGCAACTTGCCTAAGGCCTACACAACTAATACATGGCAAAATAATTTGGCTCCAGAGCTTAAGAATCTAGGAGTAGTTGTTTCTATGAAAACCAAGTTGAAAGCTTTGGAAAGACTAGATGAAGATGATACACACAACCACGCAACTCTACCTTGTATGTGAAAGCAGCCATAGATAATATGTAAAGAAACGAGCCTGGCTGTGTTCTAATAAAACTTTATTTACATAAACAGGCAGCACGCTAGGGAAAGATTTGGCCCTCACACTGGAATTTGCAGATCCCTGAACCTACACTCCAAGAAAAGGCTTATGTTAAAAGAATGGCAAAAAAATGTATATTTTAAGTTAAGTAAAATGTTTAAGGTCTGTGTGTAACTAATATCTGTATGATTCCGTGTTTTAACTTACTTTTTCAGTTAACTAACTACCGACCCTAATTGCATCAGATAACAGGGCAATTCTTATAAGAAATTTTTGCCTACTTTCCTGCCTTTTTGCTTTTGCCAAAGCCACCCCTTCAATCTTGGAAGTATCATTTCCTCGCTTCCACTTGGAATCCCACTCATCTTCAAGTCCATTATCTAACCCCACACCCTCCTCCAAACTAGATATGATCATTTCTTCCTTTGAAATTCTTCAATAATTAATTTCTACCTATGGGACTTAAAGTAAGTCCCATACTTCCATTATCCCCACTACTCAACTATTAGTGACTAACTCATTTTCCTTTCTTAGGCAATATGCAGCACATAGCAGGTTTTCAGATAATATTTCCTGAATTATGTTCTACCATTCTTCTGTTTTTAGTGTCTGGACAGAAAGAACATGCACAATACCAAACCCCCAAACCTATATTCAACTCATATACCACACCTATGATTTAACTTTGCTATAACTTTAATCTATTAATTTTAAAATGCATTCACCAGTACAGATTAGTATGGTTGTAGCTAAAATTGTCATCTCTGTAGCAAAATTTCTGATTTTGAAAGTAATTGTTAAAACTGCTGCTTCCTGGCTAGTCTTTAATGTGTTGATACATTTTACAAATACATCTACAAGCTGTATGCAAACAAAATTCTTAATTCAAACTTGAGATCAAGAGTGTGCCATAACTTACCTCTGCACCCGCAGCAGTACTTAACAGACGTCTGGATCTAAACCACTCCTTCCACAAAGTGCTTAGGGAGCCTGGCCCAAGCTCAGAGTGAGTTAGAAAGGCTTGGGATAGGAATGCAAGTTTCCTGATTCCTAGTTCAATATTCTAATTCAGGAAGAAAGTGGCTTTTTAGGTGGCACCCAATCCTGCAGTTCAAAAACTAAGGAATAAGGAAGCCTCACCACTATCTTCCATTTCCTTATACTGCCAATCAGAACCAGCTGTTGTTTTCCCACAACAGTGATCTGGACAGGCATATTTGTGGCATTCCAATCACCAAAAGGGCTGATCCAGATTTTAGGATTCCTACCTATATAAAAAGATTACTTAAATACCCTAGATAAAACACCCCATTCAGAATGCACCATAAACAGTCAAACGATCCTTTAGTGCAGCGGTTCTCAACCCGTGGGTCGCGACCCCTTTGGGGGTCGAACGACCCTTTCACAGGGGTCGCCTAAGACCATCCTGCATATCAGATATTTACATTACGATGCATAACAGTAGCAACATTACAGTTATGAAGTAGCAACGAAAATAACTTTATGGTTGGGGGTCACCACATGAGGAACAGTATTTAAAGGGCCAGAAGGTTGAGAACCACTGCTTTAGTGTTTTTTAAAAGCACTTCTCAGATGTTTTAGTGCTAAAACGACAATGACCAGTACTGAGGAGAGGGGTTAAAAAGAGCTATGTTATTTATGCAGTTCATTCTCTTCTTTCCCGAGAAGTAACCAACTTCACATTCTAAACAGAGCTACTCTGAAGGGCTCCTGTTCTAGTGCTTAGATACCAGTTGCATCACTGCTTTAACCATCTTAATCTGTAAAGTAAACACAGGAAGTAGACAACAGCCCTATCCCCAGCTCAACAGAGTAATACTTTACCAACAAAAATTAGAGTTACATGCAACATTTCTAGCTGCCGTATTCCTCTCCCCCCAGCTTTAAACCATAGTCAAATCATCTTTAATTAACAAAAGACTAAGCAACCCCGACAGTTCACAGATAGGACAGCATTTTTATTTTTCTGGAAGCTACCTATGAAAGGCAAGAGCCATTGCTGGGCTCTCTGGGTCACATGGGGGAAAGAGACCCTAAGAGAGTAAATTAAGGAAGAAGGGAACAAGGATGAATTCCATTACTTCAACCTAACGAAGCATTAATAAGAATTCATTACGGGCAAGAAAGCATAGTGCTCTGGGGCACAAGGAGACATCAAGACGAATAAAACGATCCCTGTCCTTGGGAAGCTTACAATTGAGAAGTACACAGATTATAACAAAAAGCATAGCAAGGGAAGTGCCAAGAGGTTCGAGGTTCTCAGGGAGGGAGACACCAATCACGTCACTTCAATTTCATGCTAACAAATTAAAACATTCGGGTAGGGGACACCTGTTGTACTAATCCGATGGAGAGAAGCTGGAGTGCAATTCCAGCGAGATCTGTGGAAATGGACGCTTCGGTGGGACATGAACTTGCTTGATCCACACCTTGGCTAAGGCAGGCCAAGAACTACGCCAGATTAACCAAAGAAATACAAGAAACAGAGAGGCTGGGAACGGGAGGCAGAGAAGTCGGCCAGAACTGATGCTGACTTAAGTCTGCGGCAGGAGGACTGAGCAAAACCCAGGCGGTTGGGGCTGGAGATTTTCAGCTGCTCACGCTGCCTCCTTTGCGGAAGGTCCCAGCTCCCCTGCGCCTCACCTGCATCCGCGGGCTCCGGGGGGGGGGGGGGGGGGGGGGGGGCCTTTCTCAAGAGGCAGCCACAGTCCAGCCATCAGCGCTCCGGGAGGGCGCACGGTGCTGACGGGCCGGTAAGGGACTTGCAGCAGCTCCCAGCTCCTGAATCCAGAGGCCAGGGATCCAGCCCCAGCCTGCCCTTTACTCTGCGTGACCTCAGACTACTCGTTCAAGTACTTCGTTCCTTCTTCTCCTACCTGTGAACCCTGGGATTATGGGGAGAATGGGACTGAATTCGATGACCTCTGGGGTCTAAAAGCTTCTCGCCAGCCGACACACAGAAGCGCTGCACAATGGCCCGTCGGATAAATAGCGAGGTCGGCCACAGGGTACAAAAGGTAGGGGCGCCAGGCCCGTTTTACAGGAGGGGAAACTGAGGCACCGAACATCTTGCCTCAAGGTCACTCCAGCGAAGTCACTGCTGGGGCCCGGCCGAAAGCGGAGACCTCCAGAATGCCCATCCCGGGCCCTTTTTCTTTCGCCGAGCGGGGTAAACTGGCGCGGAGAGTCCTGGTGCCGGAGGGGAAGGGGCTGTGCTCGTGCCAAGGTAGAGAGAGGGGCGAAGGAGGCCTTACCTTCCCAGATCGAGTCCCGCCACCGGCGTCTCCTTTTCAGAACCGTATCCAGTCGCCCCCTCACGACTCTACATTAACACCCTCCACTAGTGACCGGCTCGACGTGTCCACGATTGCCACAGAGGCCGCCCATTCCCGCCCCTGCCCCGCCCCCTGCCTCATTGGCCAATCCCTGCGCAGGACGTCGGAGCTCCCGCGGATTTCACCGCCTCTGAGGGCTGGAGAAGCCTGACGTCACGCCGCGCGCGTGCCTCCCAGGTCTTTGCCCCACCTCCTGTCCCGTGGACGAGCTTGCAAGAGTTCGTCCTGCCGTAAAGCAGCACGCCTCCGCGGCATTTCACGACGTCGGCGGCTAAAGGCCCAGGAAACGCTCCGACTTCCTCCCGGCTGCCGGGCGAAAGCCAGCGCGATGTTCGGTGCGGGCGACGAAGACGACACCGACTTCCTCTCGCCTAGCGGCGGGTGAGTGTGAGTGACTGTGAAGTGTGGGACAGAAGGCGTGGCTGAGGAAGTCGGGCAGATGGTTGGAGGGGTCGCTCTCTTTTCAGACGTCTCCCCAACTTCCGGGTCCAGACCCTTGCCACACTTGTGCGCTCTGCAGACAGGTCTTGGAATCCTGGCAGAGCTCGAAACTGCTGAGTCTGCCCACCTGCCTTCTGGGCCTGGCATCTCCCCTGACACGCATATCACTCTGAGGTTCGCCTTTAGCTTTCTGGGTCACAGTTTCTCCTGTGCAATGCGGGTGATGGCTGATGAGGATACCTGCCTCAAGAGTTTTTATAGGAGTCACTTGGGGCCAATAGAAGACTTTCTCTTGGGGGGCTGGGGGGACAAAGTGGTGATACTTAAGAATTGGCCTTGGTGAGTCAGCTTGAGCATCCTTCAAGGATGTCACCTTTTGGGTACTTTCTCTTCTCCCACCACCCCAGGCAGAAAAAAATTGCTTTCTCTTCCTTATTCCCACAGCTAGGCGTGATTACCTCTGTTCTGGCACACCGAGCCGACTGGATTATGAGCCCTGACAGGACAGAGACCTCTTATGTTTGTTCATCTCTGCCTAGTGCTCAGTACAGTACATAGTGAGTGCTCAGGAAGTGCCTGTTGAATGAATGATAGTCATGAAATTGCACTCGAAACGTTAAAACCAATCTAAGAGACTGCGGTCGCTATTCCCTGCCTCCAGTCATTGTGCATACTGGTCTGGGGGACAGTTTTTCAAGCGGCAGCTCTTTGTCTCCTCCAGTAATCAGTGTAGCCATTTCCCTTGTGTTGTGTCAGTAGACAGCTTGACTCCCTTTAACCTTGTGAGCTAACAAGTTCTGATACTTGCAGAACTTTTGTTTGAACATTTGTTTAACAAATTTAAGAATGTATTGAAGAATGATGAATACACCAACATATACCCCTTATTCTACTGAATGCTAAAAGGATGCAAAGATGACCAAGCCTGTCCTCAAGTTGCTTCCAGTCTTGGTAGAGATTCAGTACATAAAATGACACTGCCTTTCTTTTGACTTACACGGTGACTAGCTGTACTACCTGTTTTAACTACCCCCACTTTAGATGGCCTTTGTCCACTTAGTTCCACTTTGGGTTCTTTCAGTTCTCGGCTATTTTAGAATTAAGCTGTGCTCTGATTCATTTTTTCCCCTCTTCCACCCGGAGCATTCATGAAAATGTCCACACAATGCAGCCAGCTGCTGTTGACTATGCAGTAAGCCTTTTGAATTAATGTTTTTTCATACAAACCTGTTTTGTACATGGCTGTGCCATGTGAAAGTTTACAAGATATACTTAAAATTTACATTCTTCGCTAGGTGAAAGTATTTGGGGATATCTGTAAATGAGTGTTAGAGCTTGTGGTTTTCATGCAACAAGCAGTCCACTGCTGACTGAAAATTACAGAGTGAAAAATGACAGTCATGTGCTCTTTTCCAAATTCCTGCTTTGAGATCAGTTCTTGGTGGCTCCACTAGGCTACTTTCCTGAGCAGGCTCATAGGACCCGAAGCGCTTTAGTTCTAGGCATGTGACTGTGCTCTTAAACATAGACAACAGCTAATTGAATGGTAAAAGGCTTAGTAAACAAAGTTATACAGATAACGTTATTTTCGTTCCCAGTAATAACCAGGAAAACCAAATCAGATTTAAGATTGAGGATATAGGAAGTTTCACCAGTATTCTCTGATTCAGCTAGTCTGTCTTTGGTTTCTCTAAGGAAGTAGAACATATGACCGCAGCACTTCCTGTTTTATAACTGTAATTTACTGTAAATATACTTGTTTATTAATTTTTCAAGTATCTTGACTTAAGTATATGACTTACTTGATTCCGTTTATAATACACAAGCCTGATAGAAAAGGGAGTATTCGTGTCTAGGATGGCTATCTAGATGATTGATAATGTGCTCCAAGTTTCCAGGCTTCTTAAAGTCCATGGTTAACTTAGAAGTAGTAATGAGGAAGTTTGCTTTTTTGGAGGGCTTAGCTCTTTCCCCACCATTGTGACTTTGAAATGAAGAAATATATCAGTGCCTGCTAATTATATGGTACTTGGCTTCCGCTAAAGCAGATAGGAATAAGGCAAAGTTCTTGCCCCTTAAGAAACTTCTAGTTTAGTAGTTGGGTAAAACCCATCCAGTAATAGTAATCACAAAGCATTCTAAGGGGCTACTTATGTATATACTTATGTTTTAGGTTATATAAAAGACTAGTGGCCCAGTGCATGAAATTCATGCATGGGTGGTGTCCCTCAGCCCGCCTGCACCCTCTACAATCTGGGACCCCTCGGGGGATGTCCGACTGCCGATTTAGGGGTCGGGCCTAAACTGGCAGTCAGACATCCCTCACAATCCGGGACCGCTGGCTCCTAACTGCTCACCTGCCTGATTGCCCCTAACCACTCTGCCTGCTGGCCTGATCAACCCCAACTGCCCCCCCTTCCGGCCTGATCACCCCTAATTGCCTGCCCCTGCCAGACTGATTGCCCCCAACTGCTCCCCCCCGCCAGCCTGATCACTCCCAACTGCCCCCCCCGCTGGCCTGCTCCCCGCCAATTGCCTCCCCTGCCAGCCTGCTCTCCCCCAACTGCCCTTTCCTGCCGGCCTGATTGCCCCTAACGGCCTCTGCCTCGGCCCTGCCACCATGGCTTTGTCCAGAAGGTTGTCTGGAAGGTCTCCCAGAAGGTCTAAGAAGCATATTACCCTTTTATTAGTATAGATATGTGAAGGCAAATCTGATTAGCACTAGAGGCCCGATGCACAAAGATTCTTAAAAGAATAGGCCTTCCTTCCCTTGCCTGCCGGCACCACCTTCGCTCCGGCTGGAGCTGCTTTTCCGCCTTCACTCCAGTCTGGAGCCGCCTTCTGCCTTCGTGTGCTCCTGGCCCGGCCGCTGCCATCTTTGTTGTGTCAATTTGCATATTCCCTCCTTATTGACTGTGGGAGTCACCATCTTGGTTGTGAAGTGACGGTCAATTTGCATATTCTGTCTTTATTAGATAGGATAGTAATGCTATCACCAGTATAAAGGTAGAAAAAGATAAGTCTGGAACTGATCCTCAAGAAGTATTTTTAAGTTACTTAAAAGACACAGAAAAGCCTAGATCAGTGATGGGGAACCTATGACACGTGTGTCAGAGGTGACACACGAACTCATTTTTTTGTTGTTGATTTTTCTTTGTTAAATGGCATTTAAATATATAAAATAAATATCAAAAATATAAGTCTTTGTTTTACTATGGTTGCAAATATAAAAAAATTTCTATATGTGACACAGCACCAGAGTTAAGTTAGGGTTTTTCAAAATGCTGACACACCGAGCTCAAAAGGTTCGCCATCGCTGGCCTAGATTCTAATGCTGATTCTGCCCTAGTTAGGAGTGTGATGTTAAACAAGTCACTTCTCATCCTTGGCTCTCCATACCCTAACCTGTTAAATTATGGTGTTTTCCCCAGATGATTTTTGAGACCTTTCTCAATTCTAAAGTTTTGTATTCTTGTTAATATCAGTTTATAGTTGGAGGCCAGTTTATGCATAGATTGAGCATGGTTTCTTCTCTACAGAAGTATCTGAGTTGAATCAACATTTTAAGGTAATAGGATGTGTGCACATTTATATAAAATAATATATGGTGTACTTAATGCCAGGCGCTGTACGTCCTTCTAAGTAATACATTTACATTATCATATTTGCTTCTCTCTACTACTCTATGAGGTCATTTTTACTATTATGCCCATTTTACAAATGGGCATATAAGGATCAGAGCAGTAAGTTGCCCAAGGCCATGCAGCTAAAAAGTAAAAGAGCAAAGAAGTACTTTGACAACAAAAAGAACCCTATTTATTAAAATATATTGATGTGCATGCATGTGTTACTTATTTTGATGAGAAAAGAAAAGGAATATAAAGCTAAGGTTAGATAAAGACTTTGGCAGCTAAGTGCATTGGCTAACATTTATTTATTTATTTAGATTCTTTTTTTAATTATTAATAAATCTTTATTGTTCAGATTATTACAGTTGTTCCTCTTTTTCCCCCCCATAGCTCCCTTCTACCCAGTTCCCACCTCACCCCATGCCCTTACCCCCGCCACTGTCCTCGTCCATAGGTGTATGATTTTTGTCCAGTCTCTTCCCTCACCCCCCACATCCCCTTCCCCCTGAGAATTGTTAGTCCACTCCCTTTCTATGCTCCTGATTCTATTATATTCACCAGTTTATTCTCACCCCCATAATTTGGATGTAGGTACGCTTGAAGTTGTCCCAGAGGCTCCTTACACTATCTTCATATTTTTGGTTTCTTTTTTCTTTTCCGGTTGGGTGTGTTTTGCTTCTTCGTATTTCAAATCTTTGACTTGATTCTTGGGGTCCTCTAGTCTGCTGTTGGATCTCTGTATATTATTCTTTATTTCAGTAAGTGTATGCTTAATTTCTAATTGGTCCTTTTTCATATACTTGAGGGTCTCACTAAATTTCTCGGAGGTTTCTAGAAGATTCTTGAGTAACCTTATAACTGTGGTTTTGAACTCTATATCCAGTAGTTTGCTTTCCTTCATTTTTTTCATTTGTGACATGTTTCTTTGTCTCTGCATTTTGGCTGCTTCCCTGTGTTGATAGAGTGGCTTTGTGTGCTAGGTGTCCTATAGGGCCCAGGGGCTCAGCCTCCCTAATTACCTGAGGTGGAGACTCTTGGTGCACCCCTTTGTGGGCTGTGTGCACAGTCTTGTTTTAGTTAAGTCACTTATGAATGTGAAGAGTTGTACTCTGGTATGGTCTCACTCTGACCACTGGGTACACTGGCTCTTGAATCTCCAAAGAGGTGCAAAGTCAGCCACTGCCTGAGTCCACCCAGCAGGAGCTACAGAAAAATCTGCGGATTCCTCCTCTTTGTTTGGGGTTTGGAAGTGCTCAGATGAGGCCCAGCTATGAAGCAATGCAGGCTATGTGTAGCCCTTCTTTTGGAAGCTTTAGCGCTCTTTGACCAAGCTGCAGTTTGTTAGGTTTTAGATTGCAAAAGAACAGGCCATTCGTATGCGAAAGCTTCTGTTCACAGCTTGGGTGGGGTTGTAAATTGGGTGGGGCAGGGTCTCAGGGGATCATCAGGGCAGAGCAAACCGCAATGGCTGCCAATCTGCTCTGTCTTGGAAAGGTCCTGGGTCTCTGTGTCCCCGCAGCCCTGTGCAGGAACAATAATTGCTGCAAGCACCTCTGAGAGAACGCCGCCCTCGCATTCCGTCCCGATGCCAGACAGTCCAGTTTCTCCCCGTATGAGTCTGGGTCCCCAGAGTCTCACCCGGAACTAGAGTTCAGAGCAATTGGGAGCTTGTATCTCCCTCCGATTGAAAAAGGCAGCAGTGTACCCAGTTGCCAGCCCGTTTCCACGCACCTCCACACTTCCGCACCTCTGCAACTCCTACCAGTTTCAATGCGCTTTTCTCTTTCCTTCTAGTTGTGAAATTTCCACTCAGCCAGCCTTCCCGTGGTTCTGGATGATATCCGTTTTGTCTTTTAGAGTTAGTTTTGATGTGGTTGTGTGAGGCAGCAAGTACAAGTGTGTACCTGTGACACCATCTTGGTTCCTGCCCCTAACATTTATTTTTAAAATGTAATTAATACTGTAATGACTTTTCCCATGAATTGTAAACAAAGAGACTCAAGTCCAAAGTTAGCAAATCCCCTACTTGGGACTGAGCCCGAAACCCGGGCATGTGCCCTGACTGGGAATCAAATCCCTACCTCCTGGTTCATGGGTTGACACTCAGTCACTGAGCCATACTGGCCAGGGCTCCATTGAATTTTTTAGAGAGAGTGAGAGGGAGGGAGAGAGAGATAAACATTGATGTAAGAGAGACACATAGACTGGTTGCCTCCCACGTACACCCGGGCTGTGGCCAGGGGTTGAACTTGCAACCAAGGTACATGCCCTTGACCAGGAATCGAACCTGCAACCCTTCTGTCCAGGGGCCAATGCTCTAACCCCTGAGCAGAACTGTCCAGGGCAGCAAGTCCATTCTTGCTAACATAGTTAGATATGTACATGTGAGAACACTGTAGAAGTAGAAAAATGTAATGATTTATAAGACACTTATGTATTGTTTATTTTAAAATATTAATAGAAAATAGAATTAATCTGGGAGGTAATTGGGTTGACTGGCTCTAGGATTGATTTTGCAATCATTAATTAGCTGGCCTTTAGAACCTCTGTGGAAATATTGTTTGCCTCTGACTGTTGTTTTTCCCTTGACAAAAACATTCCTGCAAAATGAAAATAGCAAATCCAATACACATAGTTTACTGAAGCTAACCAGGGCATTCTTTTCTTATCAACTACCTGTGTATAAGCTATTATATCTTAAGTAGGATCTAAACTTCGTAAATTGTTCACTATGTTAAAGGCATTGCCCAACTCTTTCAGAATCTTATTCTTTTAGGGAATTTGCCCAGATTGCCCTGGCTAAAAGGAGAAATCTTGGTCTCTCCTAAATTTTATTAGCATTTGTTGATGTCTTATTTAGGCTAGTACTTCTCTCCACACTTACAATCACATTTAAACCTCTCAGTCCTTTTAAGTAAGCGTTGTTGGCCCCATTTATAGAAAACTGAAAGGAAGCTAATAGTGCACTACCTTGAGAAGACAAGGTAATAGTTTCAAATCATATTACATTTATTTTGCGAATTGCTGGTATATGTTATACATTAAAATTCTTGGGAAGTTTTAATATTTACTTCACCTAAACTAAGGATGCTTTTGGAGGAAAGGAGCTCAGAGCTAGACTAGACTTTGAGTTCATTTATTGAGCCTATTACATACCAGACCCTAGACAAAATATACAGTCAAGTAATGATTAAAATAAATAATCAGTTACCCTGTTATATGATAAATGATTGAATAACTTTTATTAATCTCTGTGAAGTATAACTCCATACAACAGCTACCTGTTATATATCTTACTAGAGGCCCGATGCACGAAATTCGTGCAAGAGTAGGCCTTCTTTCCCCCAGCTGCTGGCACCGGCTTCCCTCTGGCACCCGGGACCTGGGCTTCCCTCGCAGCCCTGGCTTCGTCTGGAAGGTCATCTGGTCTAATTAGCATTTTACGCTTTTATTATTATAGATAGTTTGCAATCATATATTATGTAATTCCCCTGTATAAACTCCCTGTATAAGAGTGTATAAGCTCCTTGAAAATAGAACCCAGTTTTTTTCACCAGGGTATACTCAGCACTCAGCACAGTGTCTGGCACAGATTTCTTGAATGAATTCTATAGGAGCTCCTAGAAAGATCACCTAGCCTAGACTTTGAGATTAGGGCAGCTTCCAGGGGGAAAGGAGCAACAGGAAGAATGTTTCAGGCAGCAGGAACAGCATGTCCAAAGGCTGGACATTAGAAAGGTCTTGCCTTACTTAAGAAACTAAAAGTTCCTCGGTGTGGCTGTAGCACACAGTTGGATTGGAGAAATGGCCACATAGGAAGCTGGGGGGATAAGGAAACCTTGTAAAGTTGCCTGTGGAGTTTGGATTTTTTGTATTATTGAGGTATCCTTAAGGGTTTTAAGGAGGAAAGAGACTTAGTCAAATTTGTTTATTTGAAAGCTTACTGTGGGTGCACTGGGGAGAATGGATAAGAAGCAGGCAGGCTCAAGGCTGGGAGATGAATCAGAAAGTTGTTGTAATAATCCTAGCTGGGTAGATGTGATGGTAACCTGAAATAGGGAAGTGGCAGTGAGGATGGGTAGAAGTGACTGGGTTCAAGAAATGTTTAACAAGTAAAATTAAATGGACTCTGGAATTGGTTATGAACACCAGGGGGAAAAGAGTCAAGGATGATCCCCAGATTTCAGTTTGGTTGTGGGCGTTTGCAGAAAGAAATAGTAAGTAAAGGCGCCCTTTTCTAGAAACTGATGAAGGAAGGTCGCAGGTAAGCTCTTCTGTCCCATGTGGACTCCACTCTCCAAAACTCTGCCCGCACTCTAAGTAGGTACTGCCCAGTGTCTGGCAGGAAGGAAGAGCTGCTTTTCACTTCTTTCACCTTGCTGGGTTAGATGTTTGGTGACAGTGAATTTTTCCCAGCCAGACAAAATAGTAGACCTGAAATTGTTATCCTTAGAAAGTCCTGCTTACAAGGTTGGCACTTGGCTGACATCTAGGAACTTTATTGGTAAACAGTTCCCCACCCTGGTTTAAAGCTTCCCATAAATGATAAGCATGGCTCACTTGTCTGAACTGTTTGTACCAGCAATATGATTCATGAACCTTGTCTTCCTTCTGGGATTCTAGAATTTTGGCACATGCTAGAGGGTTTCCGTTTATCAATCCCTAGAGACTCAAAGCCTGGGGAATTAAGTCTCTAAGTTTCCTGGTAGACCACACTTCACACATATTGTTACAATTCATTGCTGGAGTAAATAAACGTATCCTGTGTTACTCCACTGGGAGAGGACTCTTGGAAGCTTGCTCCTGGTGTCCTCTGAACTTTGCCCCAGTGCTCTTTTTCCCTTTGCTGATGTTGCTTTGTATCCTTTTGATGTAAAAGATCTTTGCCATGAGTACAACTGTATGCTGAGTCTAGAACCTGGTGGTGGTCTTGGGGACCCTGACACAAATGTCATTGACCAAGAGAGGAAGCACAAAAGTGAAAACAGGATTTGCTAGGGCAGTGCGGATTGGAAGATAAGAGTTCTGGTTTGGACATGTTATGTTGCATTTGTGTTGCCTGTGGGATACTGTGTCGTCTGATACTCAGCAGCAAATTTTGGGCTGAGGATATAGATTTGAGCATCATCAGCATTTGGATAGCACTTGATACCAAGGTAAATAAACTAGATTGTCAAGGGGGAGAGAGTATAAAATCTTGGGGCATGGACATTTAAAGGTTGAGCAGAGGAGGAAGAGACCAAGAAGTTAGGTGAGGATCCAGAGAGAGGGGAAGGCGAGAAAGGGATCCTTTAGTTTTATTGAGGTCTTATTTGGGCTAGTCCCTCTTCCCAACCCACAGGTTTCCCCACAGAAGTGAAGGGAAGATTTTGTTTGAAGAACATAATAGTTGACAGTGTAAAAAGGCAACATGAAGGCCAAATTAGACAAAGACTGGTAAATTATGTTTAGTAATAAAGATGTTGGTGACCTTAGCAAGAGTGGTTTTAGTGGAATGGTTAGGGCAGAAGACTAGATTGCAAGCAATGATGGAAGAATGGTTCTGCCTGTTAGATAAAATGGTAGACGGGACCATGTTTGATGGAGTAACTTTGTAGTACAGTTCAATTTACTTTATTTCCATTTATTTTAAAACTAGTAAAAAGTAAGAAACTATGACTCGCTAAAGGCAAGAATTACAGTTGGAAGAGACCATAGAGAGCATCTAGATCAGGGGTGGGCAAACTTTTTGACTCTAGGGCCACAATGGGTTCTTAAACTGGACCGGAGGGCCGGAACAAAAGCATGGATGGAGTGTTTGTGTGAACTAATATAAATTCAAAGTAAACATCATTACATAAAAGGGTACGGTCTTTTTTTTTTTTTTTAGTTTTATTCATTTCAAATGGGCCGGATCCGGCCCGCGGGCCGTAGTTTGCCCACGGCTGATCTAGATCAACCACCTCAATTTACAGATGCAGAAACTGAGGTCCAGAAAGAAGAAATGCCTTGACGGGTAGGGTCAGCCAATGCTGTTCAGATTAGAAATACAATCTTGATTTCAGAGACTTTTTACTTCTACTTCCAGTATTGAATGATGGAATATACAGTCAAAGGAGGTATTTACTCAAGGTTGAAGGTGAGCAGCATTTATAATGATGCCAGGTTTGAGATATGTCAGATGAAATGTCATTTTCATTTTCTACAGTGCCAGATTGGCCTCTCTTTTTGGACGGGATCAGGCGGCTGCTGACCATGGAAATGAATTCTTCCAGTACACAGCCCCAAAGCAGCCTAAGAAAGGCCAGGGAGCAGCAGCAACAGGTAAGTTAAGAGGTTAGGACTGGCCCCTATCACATTAGTTGAAAGTATAAACAGCCTTCCCCAAAGTGATATGCCAGATTATTCATCCGTGGTCAGTCTGGCCAACCTCACTACCAGTGGTGCATGCCTTTCTAAGCTCTGAGATATGCATTCTGGCAGGTAGATAATGTGCCCTTTGTTTGAAACTGACAAAGGAAGGTCACAGGTAAGCTCTTCTGCTCCGTGTGGACACCACTCCCTGAAACTCTGTCCACACTCCAGGTAGGTATTGTCCAGTGTTTTGGCGAGAAGAAAGAGCAGCTTTTCACTTCTTTTCCCTTGCTGGGTTAGATGTATGGTGACAGTGAATTTTCCCCAACTAGACAGTGATGCTTAGTGCTAAATCCTCTGTACCTTTGATCATGATGGACACGAAAGAAAATTGAGTGCCATTTGTTGAATGAAAGGAGAGAAGGGTGACTAGTATTTCTAAAATGCCTGTTATGTGTGTGGTCTCAGGTGATTTACGTAGATTTTTTTTATTTTAATCCTCACTCGAGGATATGTTTTTATTGATTTCAGAGAGAGGGGAAGGGAGAGAGAGAGAAACATCGACTGCTTTCCATACGCACCCCAACTGGGCAGTTAACCTGCAACCTGGGTATGTTCCCTGACCCGGAATCGAACCCGTGACCTTTCAGTGTATGAGCCACTCCAGCCAGGGTAGATTTTCTGATTTAGTTCTCACAATTCTGTGAAATAGGTGAGGCTACCACCATTTTAGATTCTCAGAGAGGCGTAGGGACTTGGTCACAGTTACACAGCAGTAAGTGACAGTTAAAATTTGAACCCTGATCTGATTTCATTCCAAAGGTTTTCTCCCTCCTACACTCTGCTGTCTTTGTGTAAGAATCTGAAGAGGAATGAGGGACTGATAGGAACAGCCCTGAGCTACCAGCACTGGGTTGGAGAGAGATATTAAATTAAATATTTGTTACATGAAGATGAAAGTATTGCATGCCTTTTAATGCTAGGCACAATGCTGGCACTGAGAATGTTAGGACGTTTAGAACTGAATAGTTGCAGTGGTTACCATGTGGCCCCAAAGGTCTAAGATATTTACTGTTTGTCCCTTTACAGAAAATGCTTGCTGACCTGTGCTCTAAATCTTACCTGTCACTTTTGGCAGCTGTGCTGTGGCTTTCTGGTCCTGTTCTCTAAGCCCTAACCTGGCCAGATTTCTAGTAGGCCGTGCCTTTACATTTCATCGCTGTGTGCTTCTGACTCAATTTAAAGTGGTCGAGTTAATGGATGTAGATAAAAAGAAATGACCTAAGGCCCCACCCAGTGAAGTAACTTGATTTTTAGAAATCAGGCAACAACTATAAGCTAATTATACTTTCAAAGAAGAATTATAGAGGCATTTGAACTTAAACATTACTTATACAATCTTATGTAGGCATTTACAAATAAAAAGCAAAGTAGCAATATAGGGGACCCTTCCGTTCAAGGGATATTTATATGTAAGAAGTCTTTGTGGGGAAGATGGCTGAAGCATAGCTCTTGAATCTCTTCAGATTTCAATATAAAAACAGAGCAACTAGATATAAGTATAAATCTATGGATAATTACAACAAAACCAATTGAAGTGGTATCCTCATGAACCCCCAAATATAAGCAGGTATGGACAAACCACTGACAGCCACGAGGCTTGCATGGTATCAACATTTGCATGGGAGCAAATAGGGACGCAGTGGGAGAATATCTGAGTCTGAGAATGGGAGAACCCCAAAATAGCCAGTAGGTGTTCATGGAAAATATGGTAGGCCAAGCTGAAATTGAAAAGTGTTTTACCCACTCTACTTGTGGCTAAGTACAAAGGGTTGATGATTGGGACTATAAGAATGGGAGCACTCTTGCTCCTATGAACTTGTGAAACTCACCCACTGACCTTCCAGGATAGGTCCCCACACTGAGAAGAACCTGATGGGAGTGGAATTCAAATTGAGGAGGATAGAGATATTAGAGTGAAGGAGAGAAGATTCAGGTAAGAGTAAAGATAGAAGTAGAATAATAAAGTCGGGAAGAAGCCACCCTATTTTTTAACTTTATACAAAAAGAACAGAAGAGGGAGCTCTACTCCTAAGAGTTCAGAAAAGCAAATTTCACATAAAAATGAGCAATAGAAAAGTCTCAGAGTCAAACTCCATACAAAGTTATTATAAGAACAAAGAGAGCAAGGAACAGAATAATATCCCTACAGACAGTGAGAGATCTCTTCTGTGAGAATGTTTCTCCCTGAACAGATTAAAATTGCAACCACTTATTAACATTTACGACATAAGACATGAGATGAGAACATAAATGCGAATTAACAGATTATGCCTTAAGAGAAATAGAAGGTTAACAGGAGGAAATTGTTTAAGTAAAAAAATTGAGATTTCAAAAGAAAGTGACAAATATTAAAGATAGCAAAGATCCAACAAATTGGGGGTGGGGAGAGAGAAACAAGAAAACTTTGTTCAAAAAAAAAGAGAGAGAGAGAGAGAGAGACTTGAAACTACATACTATTTAAAAAAAAAAAGTCCTCGTGAGTTAGGAATTCAAGAGTCTGTGCAATGCTGATTTCAGAGAGGGAAACATGCAAAGCCAGTGAGAAGATCATATGATTCTGAGTATCTGACTCATCCCTCCAGCAATTCACAAACAACCTTCCATTTCCAGGACATGAGATAGGGAAATAAGAGTGTACTGGGACAAGTTACACCATCCTGAAGGACGAGGCTAGGTTGACCTCAGGGAGACAGTAATTTTTCTCAGTGTTTCAGACTAGTCGTCATAACCTAACTCTGGCCTTAGTTACTTTTTTCCTGCCATACACTGCTTATCAGGAGAAAAGTTATGGCATTACATATAGCTGGAAAGTGCTGATTGAATTAAAAACTAGGTGTTGGATTTTGCTAAATAATAATGAAAATATGAACACCAGACTAGGAAAATAACCAACCAGCATAAATAGACAATTCATCAAAACAAAACAAAGCAAATGGTCAGTATATATCTATAGAAAATGTTAAATTTTGGCCTCCCTGTAATCAATAAATGCAAATGAAAACAACAATGAGAAAGCATTTCCCTTTCCTTACTGCCTCCCTCTCATTGGTAAAGATTTTAAAAGATAATTTCTTCTTATTGGCAGGCCGCAAAGCTGGTGAACTCAAACTGCTAGTGGGAGTGTAAACTGGTATGGCATTTCTCAAAGGCATTTGGGCAGGTTATAACAAAATCTTAAAATTGTTTACACTCTTTCACTCCACATTTTCATTTTTATAAATTTCTTCTAAGAAAGTAATTAGAGGTACATGCAAAAATGTGCATTTTAAGGATGTTCACCATAGCATCCTATCCTATCTAATAATAGACAAACATGGTAATTGACCGTACCCTCACTATGCCTCCCATTGGCTAATCAGTGCGATATGCAAATTAGCCACCAACAAAGATGGCAGCTAATTTGCATACTGCAGGCAGGGTGGGACAGCGCCATCCCGCCTGCCCCGCCGCCATCTGGGCCTGCTATTTGCGACCCAGGGCGGTGGGGCAGGACAGTGCCATCCCGCCTGCCCTGCCGTAATCCGGGCCTGCTATCTGCGACCTGGAGTGGCGGGCGTCCATGTGTGACCTGACCCGGGGCGGCCGGGCGGTGCAGCAGTGATCGGCCAGACTGCCCTGCTTCCATCCGGGCATCCCATGAGTGACCCAACCCTGGGGAGGCCAGGCGGGGCAGCAGCGATCTGCTGGCCCGCCCGGGCGTCCCGTGTGCGACCCACCAGGCCGGGACAGCCCCCCAACCCCCAGATCGGCCTTGCCGTATACGCGACCAGGGGCGGTGGGGCAGGCACTGAGGGATCGGGCCTGCCATCTGCCACCCGGGGAGCAGGCCTAAGCCAGCAGATGGTTATCTCCCGAGGGGTCCCAGACTGTGAAAGGGCACAAGTTGGGCTGACGGACACCCCTCCCATCTCCCCTCCCCTGCCAGTGCACAAATTTTTGTGCACCGGGCCTCTAGTCTAATAATAGACAAACATGGTAATTGACTGTACCTTCGCTATGCCTCCCATTGGCTAATCAGTGCAATATGCAAATTAACCTCCAACAAATATGGCGGCTAATTTGCATGCCATAGGCAGGGTGGGCCAGTGCGAGCCGCCATCTGGGCCTCTGTGTGCCACCTAAGCCCCTCCCCCAGCCAGGACCCCCACGTGCGTCCCTGGGCGGCAGGGCTTGGCGGTGCAATTGGCCTGAGGAAGCCCTCTTCTTGCACCCCAACCCCCTGATCAGCCCTGCCCTGTGTGCGACCGGGGCGGTGACCCAACCCCAGATCGGCCCTGCCCTGTGCGCAACCCAGGGAGGAGGGGCAGGCACCTAGGGATCGGGCCTGCCATCTGCCACCCAGGGAGCGGGCCTAAGCCAGCAGGTGGTTATCTCCCGAGCGGTCCCAGACTGAGAGGGCACAAGTACGGCTGAGGGACACGCCCCCCTCCCGCCAGTGCACAAATTTTTGTGCACCGGGCCCCTAGTTATTTATAATAGAGAAAAATTGGAGGCAGCCCAAAGAAATATCAAACAATAGGAAGTTGGATACATTTTGAAAGAGTATTTTATGCAGCCACTAAAAAACATTTTTAGGACTATTTTGTCTTTGTTTTGGACACAGTTTTGAAGAATAAAAGGAAATGTTTACATTAAGTGAGAAAAGGAGGTTGTCAAATGATACCATTAATTTTGTTTGGAAAAGGTAAATCTGCCGAGTTTGTGTGTGTATAAAAAGGGCTAGGAATAAATACATCAAATTATTAACGTTTATTTTTGGGTGGTGAGATTACAGGTTCGTTTTTCTTTTTCTTTGTGTACTTCCATATTTACTAAGTTTTCTGCAGTATACGTGTACTCTACAGACAGAAAAATTGTGTCAATATGAAATTAAAAAACAAAATTTAACTGTAAATTTAAAAGATCTTACTGGCTTTATTCAGCAGTTCCTGAATCATGCAACATCCAATCAAGCAGATTGAAGAGAGCTCCAAGGAGCTATATAAAATGAGAGAATTTTATAAGCAGAAAAGAACGGGAACACAGAAGTTATATTAGGCAAAACGCAGATTGGATGTCTTGAGATTACTTTCCTTTGGGGGATGACAGTGGGTCTATCAGGCAGATTACCTAACTAGTGCTGATCAGGCAATTCCTGATTGACTGGTTGAAGCTTCCATTTCTGGGACAGCCAAAACTGTAATTAAGTCTCAGTTTGTTGACATGGAGCTTAGCGTAAGTGACTTTATTTTGGACCCGTTGTCTTGTTTTTATCAATACAAAATAAAAATAATTCAAGCAAAGATACTTTTGAAAATAAGTCCTTGGTTGTTACGTCCATTCTATTGTTCTCACTACTTTTCCATCAGCACATTCATGTTGTGAGTGTAAATATGTGATTTACTCTAAATATACTGTTTTAAAACACTAGAGTTACTGTCTGTCACTGTGAAAGGTAAGTACTGGCTGTAATCTGAGTATCATAAATTTTCTACTTCTAAACTAAGGGAAGGGAAATAACTTTATTTTTATTTGTTATAGCTCTCAAAATATTGGAAGGGGAAAAGAAAGTAGATGGACTATGACCTTGTTTTCTTGTCCAGCCCAAAGACTTGTTTAAAATGGAAATGAAGCCCTGGGGCTAGGCTTGCTGCTATCATTGTGTAAGGCCCTTAGGTGCTTAAAGCCTCCATTTCCTCATCCCCAGATGAGGTCATGTTTTATGGATTAAATGAGGATAATGGCCATAAAAGCATTTTAACAGTAACTAGAAGGCTTAAGAAGAATTTTAAGCAGTTTTAATGGTTAACAAATCAGTTTCAAGCAAGAAATGAATGACAGCTTTGTTTTCTTCCTCATTTTTAGGAAATCAGGCGGCACCAAAAACAGCACCCACCTCAACAGGCACTTCCACAGTATTGGTTGCAACAGTAGTCCACGCATATAGATAGTAAGTAGCTGAGAAGGAATGCTTTCTGAAGTTGGGCTTGGGCTAAACTCCTATCTTTTCTCAATAAGTCTCTGTTCATTGCAAAATGGCTACTCTGCCTTTCCATAGGAAAAGTATCAGTAATGCTTTTTAACTTTCCAGTTTTCCAACTTCTCATAAAACTTTGAGGAGCCATTATCTTGTTCGTTCTCTCTCTCTCTCTCTCTCTCTCTCTCTCTCTCTCTCTCTCTCTCTCTCTCTCTCTCTTCTGCATGTATCTCAACAACTGCCTTTCCAAGTGCTCAAAGAAAGACGCTTCACTGAGATATAAATAGTAGATATTTAAAGAGTAAAGAAATTGTGTTAGAGCTTTTAATTATAAACTGCTCACCTCTATTCCTTTCTAGAGGTTCAATGACTAGATTTCCCACTTTTACATAGCAGAAAAGAAAGCTGGTTCTGCTTAGTTTAAGGAAGTATTAATACCTGTTGTTTTTGTTTTGCTTCTATAGCACAAATGGTCAATATGTAAAGCAGGGCAAATTTGGTGCTGCAGTCCTGGGAAATCACACAGCCAGAGAGGTGAGATTGCCCCACATCTCATGTATATTTAGGTGTCCCAAACCCTACCCATGAGCTGATTTCCCTCTGGGCTTGCCCAGTGTCTCATGTATCAGAGGATTAAAATGATTATTTGTGTTGAATGTACATTTTTAACATTAGGTATATAGTAACATTTGTAGTCACATTTTGCTTATAATCGTGCATTAAAACAAATCCAGCCACTCACAATTTTAAGTTTTATTTTTATGATATAGACCTGGCTTAGGAATTTGGAGTTTTAGAGCAAACATTTACCAAGGACATCCCTTTGCTAGACAATGAGCAACACTTAGTGTATAATATGTCCTTGTGCCTGCATTAATGACTAGTGTTTATCCTTTGAAAATTTGATGAGATGGACCACCAGTCACAGAGTAAAATATTGGTTTGGGTCAAAAGAAGATGTGGCCCAGTCAGTGTGGCTCAGTGGTTGAGTATTGACCTATGAACCAGGAAGTTACAGTTCAACTCCCAGTAAGAGCACATGCCCAGGTTGTGGGCTTGATTCCCAGTAGGGGGCATGCAGGAGGCAGCTTATCGATTATTCTTTCTCATTATTGATATTTCTATCTCTCTCTCCTTTTCCCTTCCTCTCTCTGAAATTAATTTTTAAAAAAGAAGAAGAGGATGTGGCTAGAAGCCCTGACACTGGTTTACTTTTGTGGGTTGTATCTAACTTGAAATTCTGCTCCAGAAGGTTTTGAACATTGTTGAAATAAGCATAAGAAATTTCCGAATTTCAGAGGTCCAGAGAACATGGATTCTATACTCCTCAGAGACCCTGAGACACAGAGAGATAAGATGACCTGTCCAGGGTAACTAATATAATAGACAACACTCGTTTGTTTTAAAAACAGACAAACAAAAAACTTAATTATGGAAATTTGGAAACATAATAGTGGGACTAGAATAATGAACCCCTAGAGCCCATTATTAGGCTCTAACAGTTATTAATCTTATTTTACCTCAAACCCAACCAGTCTTCCTTCTTCCCCCCTCAGATTATTTTGAGTAAATTTCCAGCATACAATTTTAGCTGTAAATTTTTTAGTATGTATCTCTGAAAGAAAGGGATTTTTAAAAATGTAACCACTATGCTACTATCACACTTAAAAAAACCCACAATAATTTTTTGATGTTCATTCACTAGAATCTAGTATTCAAATTTCCCTGGTTGTTTCTTTTTTCTTTTTCCTTTTTTTTTAATAGTGTGTTTTAATTAGGATCTAATAAGGTATATATATTGCGCTTGGTTATTGTATCCCTGAAATCTGTTTCATTTTCCCATCTGGAGGTAAACAAACTCTGGTTGTTCCTTATTTTGTTATGTTAGCAGCCACAATGGTTATTATTTAGATCTATTGATTTGTTAACAGTTGTCATTTGGATCATGAAAATCTGGTATTGGGATTTTACCACCCTTCCTTACTAGATAGGATATAGTACTGTGGCAGATACCATTCCTACTGTAACAATTATAAAAAAGGAGATAAATTGCAAAAACTACATTTTAAAATTCATTAGAGAGCTGTGGAAATGATGAGGACTAGATGAACTAAAATTTCAGAGAGGGAAGAGCCAATTAATTGAGTGTTTCCTTCTCTTGAGATTTTGGCTGATGCCTTAGAGTAGAATGAACATTAGGTATAGCTCAAGCACTGAGACTGCTGGGGGCAAAAGACATTGGAATAAACTAGAGAAGCTCCAAACGCAAGATTTATTTTTTCCCCCCTTAGGACATGGCTGAGTTCTGGGATAGTGTGGAAGTCCAGGGGCTGTGACAGAAAGGCCAAGGGAAACTTCTACAATCTTATGGTGCAGAGGAGATAAAGTCCTATTACAAGATGGGAACCTGTAGCAAGCATCTGACAGCCTTCCTCTCAATACATTTGCTAGATTTTTAATTTTGTGGGGAGGAGGCTAAAGAACTCAGCTCAGAATTGCTGATGGGCAGAATGTTCAGGACCGAGAAGTCAGAGACCCTCCAGGCTTTCAATCAAAAGCCTAGGAAGATAGTGCTTGAGAACAGGTGTATCCCCCTGGAGTGACTCTAAATAATCTATCATCCTTCCCTGACCAGCTTAATCTGTAATTGGTTTGCATTGAGGGATCAGCTCTTCACTATCTGTCTAACATAGGAAAAGGAAAGACCTTTCTCGCGCAGGATTGTATATGAACCTTCATAGCCTCACCCTCCCCTCTGGGGTTGAGTTTTAATCATTTGTTTAACTGTGGTTTTATGTGTGTGTTTGCTTGTTTTGTTTGTTTGTTTGTTTTTTATAGCAAAGGTGGAAATTTATTGAGAAACAAGCACAGGCTCCCACGTGGGGAGGGGGAAAGAGTCCCTGTGTGGTTTTTATGTGTGTGAATAGTAAATATATATATGAAATTTGCCATTTTACCATTTAAGCATATAATTCAGTGGCATTAATTACATTCACAATATTGAGCAGCCGTCACCACTATCCATCTCTACTTTTTCATCACCCCAAACAGAAAATCTGTAATCTTTAAGCAGTAACTCCCCATTCCTCCTTCCCTTATCCCCTGGTGACCTTAATCTGTGTCTATGAATTTGCCTATTCTAGATATTTTACATAAGGGAATCATACAATATTTGTCCTTTTGTGTCTGGCTTATTTCACTTAGCATAATGTTTTCAAGCCTCATCAATGTTGTAGCATGTATCAGAACTTCATTCTTTTTTTGTGGCTGAATAATATTCCATTGTCTGTATATAACATATTTTGTTTATCCATTCATCAGTTGATGGACATTTGGTTGTTTCCACCTTTTGGCTATTATAAATAATGGTGGAGTGAACATTGGTGTACAAGTATATGTTTAAGTCCCTGTTTTCAGTTTTTTTGGTATATACTGGGAGTGAAATTGCTGTGTCATAAGATAATTCTATACAGTGGGGCCTTGACTTACGAGTGTCCCGACTAATGAGTTTTCGAGATATGAGCCGTCTCTCGGCCGATTTTTTGCTTTGAGTTGCGAGCTAAAATTCGGGTTACGAGCCAGCTTCAGATACCCCACCGCTAGTTGGCGCAGCGAACGGCGCACCGAACGTCACACTGAACGCCACAACATCAGCCCAGCATCACGTGTCTCACTTGTTCACTTTTGATTTGTCATACGAGTAATTTGAGTTACGAGCTCTGTCACTGAATGAATTAAACTCGTAAGTCAAGGCCCCACTGTATTTAGCTTTTTGAGGAACTGCCATACTGTTTCCACAGCAGCTGTACCATTTTATATTCCTAATAGAGGCCAGATGCACGAAATTCATGCAAGAGTAGGCCTTCCTTCACCTGGATGCTGGCACTGGCTTCCCTCTGGCACCTGAGACCCAGGCTTCCCTCCAGCCACTGGCAGGCACCCGGGACCCAGGCTTTCCTCCAGCTGCCAGCAGGCACCTGGGACCAGGGCTTCCCTTGCAGCCCCGGCTTCATCTGGAAGGTCGTCCAGAAGGACGTCTGATCTAATTAGCATATTATGCTTTTATTATTATAGATAAGCAATATATGGGTTCCAGTTTCTTCACTACCTTGCCAACACCTCATTATTTTTTCTGTTTTTTTAATATATTTTATTGATTTCTTACAGAGAGGAAGGGAGAGGGATAGAGAGTTAGAAACATCGATGAGAGAGAAACATCGATCAGCTGCCTCCTTCACATCCCCCAATGGGGAAGTGCCCGCAACCCAGGTACATGCCCTTGACCAGAATCGAACCTGGGACCTTTCAGTCCGCAGGCCGATGCTCTATCCACTGAGCCAAACCGGTTTCAGCATCTGGGTTTTGTTTTTTTTTGTTTGTTTTTTAATGTACATTTTAGTAGGTGTGAAGTGGTTTGATTTGCATTTACCTAATGACTGATGACTATTAATTATCCTTTCATGTACCTGTTGGCCATTTGTTTATCTCTTAGTCACCCATCTAGAAATGAAAACACCAACAAAATAAAGACATTGCAATGACAGTTAAAGAGTAAGGCCAAAATAAAAAGAGATTTAAATGGGTAGTGAGAAGATACAACTTAAAATCCAAGCATTAAGGGATTAACTGAGTTTTGTACCTGTATGAAACACAATCCCTGACATTTTACTGCTAATTTTTGTATTGTCTTTTAACTTCTGTTCTCTGTATTTTTTTCTGCTTATCTTTGCTTGAATACAGTATAGGATTCTTCTTTATATCAGTCAACAACAGCCAGTTACTGTTGCCAAGATTCATCTGAGCTTTGAACTAATGGTAAGACTTCCCATATTAGAGTCATTAACTTCCTTGGGATCCTATATAATAAAACCCTAATATGCAAATCAACCAAACAGCAGAACGACTGGTTGCTAGATGCACAATGACCATCAGGGGGCAGACGCTCAATGCAGGAGCACCGCAGAGGGAGCACCGCTCACCCAGAAGCCAGGCTCATGGCTGATGGCTGGCGGGCACAGTGGCAGTGGTGGGAACCTCTCCCGCCTCCACAGCAGCGCTAAGGACCTCTCGGGGGATATCCGACTGCCGTGTTAGGCTCGCTCCCTGTAGAGAGGGCCTAAGCCGGCAGTTGGACATCCCCCGAGGGGTCCTGGATTGGGAGAGGGAGCAGGCTGGGCTGAGGGACCCCTCCCCTTCTCCCCCCCCTCCCCCCGCCTCCCCCCCAGTGCACAAATATCATGCACTAGGTTTCTTTTTTTTTTTTTTAATTCTTTATTTTTCAGATTATTACATTTGTTCCTCTTTTTTCCCCCCATAACTCCCCTCCTCCCAGTTCCCGCCCCACCCTCTGCCCTCACTCCCCACCCACTGTCCTCATCCATAGGTGCACGAGTTTTGTCCAGTCTCTTCCCGCATCTCCCACACCCCTTTCCCCCCCAAGAATAGTCAGTCTATTCCGTATCTATGTCCCTGATTCTATTATAATCAACAGTTCATTCTGTTCATCAGATTATTTATTCACTTGATTCTTAGATTCACTTGTTGATAGATGCATATTTGTTGTTCATAATTTGTATCTTTACCTTTCTCTTCTTCTTCCTCTTCTTAAAGGATACCTTTCAGCATTTCATATAATCCTGGTTTGGTGGTGATGAACTCCTTTAGCTTTTCCTTATCTGTGAAGCTCTTTATCTGACCTTCAGTTCTGAATGATAGCTTTGCTGGATAAAGTAATCTTGGTTGTAGGTTCTTGGTATTCATCACTTTGAATATTTCTTGCCACTCCCTTCTGGCCTGCAAAGTTTCTGTTGAGAAATCCGCTGACAGTCGTATGGGTATTCCCTTGTAGGTAACTGAGTTTCTTTCTCTTGCTGCTTTTAAGATTCTCTCTTTGTCTTTTGCTCTTGGCATTTTAATTATGATGTGTCTTGGTGTGGTCCTCTTTGGATTCCTTTTGTTTGGGGTTCTCTGCGCTTCTTGGACCTGTAAGTCTATTTCTTTCACCAGGTGGGGGAAGTTTTCTGTCATTATTTCTTCAAATTGGTTTTCAATGTCTTGCTCTCGCTCATCTTCTGGCACCCCTATAATTCGGATGTTGGTACACTTGAAGCTGTCCCAGAGGCTTCTTACACTATCTTCATATTTTCAGATTCTTTTTTCATTTTGCTTTTCCGGTTGGGTGTTTTTTGCTTCTTCGCATTTCAAATCTTTGACTTGATTCTTGCGCTCCTCTGGTCTGCTGTTGGGAGTCTGTATAATATTCTTTATTTCAGTCAGTGTATGCTTAATTTCTAGTTGGTTCTTTATCACAACATCGAGGGTCTCATTAGATTTCTTGAGGATCTCACTACATTTATCGGCAGTTTTTAGAAAATTATTGAAAGACCTTAAAAGTGTGGTTTTGAGCTCTATATCTTCCATTTCTGACATTTGCGTCCTGTTTCTTTGTCTCCACATTTTTTTATGTTTTCTTGGTGCACCCCTTAGTGGTCTTTGTGCGCAGTCTTGTTGTAGTTAAGCCTTGATTGTTGTAGGTAATACTAGAGGGGATTTGAGCTCCAGGCTAAGTGGCTGTGAGAATCAGCTATGTCTGCAGTGAGAGAACTTCTGTCCTCTAGGGAGGTGCTAATCTAGCCTTTGCCTGAGGCTATCCGGCAAATGGCTCTGTGCAGGGCTTGGGCAGGGCGTGTCCCAGGGGATCAACAGGGCGGGCTGAGCGAGCAGTTACAGCTGCTCTCAGTCCTGTCCTAGGGGCTCTGCCTCTCAGAGTCCCAGCAACCGCTACAAACCTCAGAGAGAAAGCTCCCTTCGAGTTCCGACCGAAGCCAGACAGTCCCGCTTCTCCCGTTTGAGTCTGGGTCCCTAGAGACTCGCCCGGATCTGGAGCTCAGAGTCTTAGACTCCCTCCCAATTGAAACAGACAACTGCGCCCTCAACTGCCAGCCCTGTCCGCATGCACTCTGCACCTTAGTATTTTACTTCAGCACTGCGCCTCCTCTGAGTCTCGGTATGCTATTCTCTTTCCTCCTAGTTGTAGAACTTCCACTCAGCCAGCCTTCCTGTGGTTCTGGATGATGTCCATTCCGTCTTTTAGTTGTATTTTTGAAGTGGTTGTTCGAGGCAGCAAACTCCAGCGTTAACCTATGCCGCCATCTTGGTTTCCTCTCCTAGTAGGTTTATGAGAGAAATTGGTCTGTGCATACGTGGTGGAAATTAGATCTGTTCCTTCAGCCCAGAGTGTCTGACTGGATATCTTAACAGAGCATCTTGGAAAGGACTCCTGGCTGCCTTCTGGGAATGTAGACTGAGGGATGATATGTGGAAGGTGGGAGGGAAGAAGAGAGTTCCCTGATATCTCTCTTTGGGTCCACTTTAGTCACAGCCCTTCTATCTGAGTTTAGGCAGTCAGATTTATCTTCTGTGCTGTCTGGTTGAGTTATGCCAACATTTCTCCTTTCCCCAGGTTCGGCCCAATAACTATAGCACCTTTTATGATGATCAGAGACAAAACTGGTCCATCATGTTTGAGTCGGAAAAGGCTGCTGTAGAGTTTAATAAACAGGTAATACCATCTTATTCTTTCTGTGAAAAGCCAAACACATATGAATTTCATTTGATTTGAGGAATATAAATGGAAAACCCATAACCTGCTAATACTTTGTTAGTGGACCAGCATTAAAAAACCACTAAGTCTTTTTGTAAATACAATTGAGCTTATTGTATTTCAGGGAAATAATAGGAATACTTAATTCAAATTGCTTAAAAATGAGACTTTAAGAGAAAAAAGATGAAATGTTGTAAACTTAGTTCTTTGTAAAACATTTCTACACCCTAGCCAGTTTTGCTCAGTGGGTAGAGTGTTGGCCTGTGGACTAAAAGGTCTCAGGTTTGGTTCTGATCGAGGGCATGTACCTCGGTTATAAGGGGACTAAGGGAGTTAGGGTCCTGGTCAGGGTTGTGGTCTCTACTGATTGGTGTTAGGGTAGGGAGTAGTTGATCAAGGCATCTGGTCTTGATGTCAGCCATGGCATTGCTTCACCTGGCTTCGCTGCTTTTCTGGAGCTGAAACACAACTGAGTCTAGATATTATCTTTAGTTTCATTAAAACTCTGGTCAATAGACCCGAGGCTTTGTTCCTAAGATTGTTTGCTGCTGACCAGAGCCTCATTGTGTTGAGGGCTTAATGATTAAGGAAGTGGATGTGTAAGGGAAAATGAGGTGATTCAAGGTGCTGGATGAGGCCAGTGTGAATCAAAAGGAAAGAAAGGAGATAGGTCATATTAAAGAAACGACATTTCTGCATGGTTACTGTGTCTTTAAAAATGCTTTCAGTGTATTTTTTTAGAAGCTCCCTTTCTTGCCTACATTCCCAAACACTGAAGCAATAAATCAATATGGTAACGATATCTAACATTTATGTGTACTCACTGTTACTTTCCAGGCCCTGTGCCTAGTCCTCTGCTTGTGTTAGTTCAGTCTTCATAACTACCCTAGGAGATATGCAAAGTTTTTGTCTCCATTTTACAAAAAACCATATGAAATAAGGTTCACAGAGGTTAAGTTATTCGGCCAAGATCACAAGTTAATAAGTGGTTTATTAACTCAGATCTGTACTCAGACTGTCTGACTGCAAAGCCATACTCTTAGACACTTGAATTCCTGGCAACATTACTGACTGTGGAATGGTTTACTTCTAAACATGTAATCTGATTTGTTAGTGGACGCCATGATGTGGAAAAGAGCATTAGCAAAAATGGAGTACTTAACTGAGCTTAAATTAAGTTTATGCTGTTTCAATTTTGTCTCACAGGTGTGCATTGCCAAGTGCAACAGCACCTCTTCCTTGGATGCAGTGCTCTCACAGGACCTCATTGTGACAGAGGGCCCTGCTGTGGAAGTTGGAGATTCTTTGGAAGTGGCCTATACCAGCTGGCTCTTTCAGAATCATGCTCTGGGCCAGGTAAGAAAATGTCCCCTGGAAGTCTTTTTGTAATTTAAACAACAGGAGGGCTGTTCAGATGTAAGGTAGTATTACTGTGAATGGCTGCTGTTGGCAAATAGAAATGGTTTAGGAGCCCTGCTTTAATTCCTACTGTTGCTTTTGGGGCATAGGCATGAAATGTTAATCTATAAAATCTGCTCAGTGAGTGCCACTCATTACTTCTACTTAGAGAAAATGGAAACCAGTTTCCCAAGTATTATTTTTGGTAGTTATTCACATGTATGTCTTATCCTCCTATATCAGTGTTAAACTTTATATTCTTACGGGATTAGGTCTTAAAACTTATTTTTAGACCTTTCAATTGTTTCTGTCTTTCTTATAGTACATACTATAAATAGGTTGGACTTGTTGTCTTTTACTATTTTTAAGCCATCAAAAGCTTATGGTATGGTATGATAGAAAGAACTTTAGACTGTGAGGAAAAAAGTAGATTCAAGTCTCAATTTTATCATAATGTAACCTTGTTAAGTCATTTAAACTCAAACTGTTTTTTCCCCCCATTGGTGGATGGAAGTTAGAGGTTAGTGACAGGATTGGTATCAGCATCAGATGAGATAATTTATTTTAAAATTCTTTATAGATGAAAAATGCTTTTAATAGATGAAGTTACCTTTTTTTCTAAACCTGGAAAATCAGTGCCCAGAGATATTCTGTGTGATAATATCCTTTAGCCATGATGTGATTCCATCTTTTCAGCTCTCTTAGGAATTAATTTCCAGTATATTTGACATTCCCTATTCTAGAAATACTGTGCCTGGGTATGTTTAGTCAGTTGCATATCATAATGATTATTATTTTTTAAATTGTCTGACCTCGTTTATCATTTACTTTGATCAAATTGCAGGTTTTTGACTCCACTGCTAACAAAGATAAGCTGCTTCGCCTGAAATTAGGATCAGGGAAAGTCATCAAGGTAAAGGCTTATCTGTGTTCTTACATGGTGTTATCAGTTGCAGTAGGTTTAATGTAGGTTAAGTTATGGAAATTTTTAACCTAGATATCTTCTGAGAGTTTGGAAAAGCTTGGGTAAAAAGAGGGGGACCCCGACTGGTGTGGCTCAGTGGTTGACCGTCGACCTATGAACCACAGGAGGTCATGGTTTGATTCTTGGCCAGGGCACAAGGTTATTTTGGAGGTTATGAGGTTATTTTGGAGATTAAACAACATAATGCAAGTGAGTCACTAGCCAGAGTGTATGGAAAAAATATGTTTAATAAATAATTACTTTTATTTATCTTTTAATGCCATCCTATTCCAATTTCTCTCATCATCTGAGATAAGTATATTTCATCCATCTCTGGATATGCCAGCTTTTTAGAAGCAGTGTTCTAGATAGTCTTATAACCAATGGGGAGGTGGGACATTAGTTGAACTTGAGCTCTCCCGAGGTCCAGACCTAAAAGTGTGGGTGAGTGAAAACTGATGATCCTATACGTAATTTTTTCTTTCGAGGAGATTTGTGTCTGATGAGCTTTTCCCCTCTTCTGTTTCTTAAAGGGCTGGGAGGATGGAATGCTGGGCATGAAAAAAGGAGGGAGGCGGTTGCTTATTATCCCTCCAACCTGTGCTGTTGGCTCTGAAGGGGTAATAGGATGGACTCCATCAACGGATTCAGTCCTGGTATTTGAGGTGGAGATTAGGCGGGTGAGTGAATTTGTGCTATGCTGTGCTGATGAGTCATCTTTGCTGGTTAAGAAAAATGAGTAAATATGTTTGGGAAAACCAGATTCTGAAGATTTGTATCCTTCCTGGCTTTCTATTCAGAGTCTAGGAGAGGTCGTGACTGAGCAAATTACTTCTCTATACTAACCTTTTTATTTTGTCCTTAAAATAGTGATTTCTACCTAAAGTGCATACTTTTTGACTTAGTAATTCCATGGCTACAAATTTATCTTATCAATTTATTCTCATAAGTATGTAAAGGTCTCTATAGTTGAGAGGTATATAAAAATAGATATATAGTTTCCTCCTTCTGCCATATTGTTTGTAATAGTAAAAAACTGGAAACAACAAAGTGTCCATTATTAAGAGACTGGTTATGTTTTTCTTTCATAGAGTGGACTTTTTTGTAGCTCTTAAAGAATATCCAAAATCTATTGTTAAAGAAAGAAGTTACAAAACAGTATGGATAGTATGGTCATGTGTGTGTGTGTGTGTGTGTGTGTGTGTATCCATCTACTTTATTAACAACTTAACTCTTAATGGTTTTTCTCTCTGGAAAACAATTTTCTAGAACTACTAATAAACAGTAAGATAATTTTTTAAAAAAAGGAATGATCCTATGTGATTTTCTCTGGAGAATGGAAATGGAGTTCAGAAAGGTTTACTTTTTTACATTCTACCCTTTTGTACCATTTAAAATTTTTGTCATGAATTTATAATTTTTGTTATGGAATTTGTAACAAATTATCTTTAATTAAATTAGCACTACTCTCTTCCTCCCAAGGGGGGAAAAGACCTTTGTTTGCTTTACACTGTGATTGTTAGGTCCAACTGTGATTATGTTTGTGACCATAAACTGTGAAATACAACAAATAAATATTATGATCTTTATTGTAGCCATATTCCTGCTACCACTGAGAAAGAATATGCTTTTCTTCTCAAGGACTCTTCCCTAACTGGACACTGTTTTCTCTGGGGGCCATTTCTGCCCTCTTCCACTGACAGGCTTCCAGCTGCCTTTTCCTCAGCTGCTAATAGTCTCTCAGTTTTCCTTTGAGTTTGAGGAAATCATGGCTGGTAATAGATAACAAACCAATTTGTATCCATCAAGACTGGCATTTTGTAAACATAAAAATAATTATTTTTTACCAGTAATTTAATAATTTCAAATTGACATGCTTATTAAATTGTCAAGACTGAATCAGAATGATTATGCCCCGTGTGACAAGAGTGTTGAAAAGGATTTATACACTCTGTGTAGAGTATAAAGTAGTTGTTCACCCTTGCTGGTGTGAAATTTAATGGTATATATCAGAAGTCTTAAAAATTAGCATACCTTGCCCTGGTCAGTGTGGTTCCGTGGTGGGGCATCTACCCACTCACCGAAAGATGAGGGGTTCAATTCCTGGTCAAGGGCAAGTACCTGGGTTGTAGGTTTGATCCTGGCCTCAGTCGTGGTGCATGGGGGAGGCAACCAATCGATGTCTCTCACATTGATGTTTCTCTCCCTCCTCTCCTCTTCTCTTCTGGTCCTCCTGCTCCTCTTCCCTCCCTCCCTTACACTCTCTAAAAATCAATGGAAAAAATATCTTCAGGTGAGGATTAACAATACAAACAAAAAAATTAGCATACCTTTTAACCAACAGTTTAACTTCTGGGAATTTATGCTTTGGAAGTACAGGTTGTCCCCAAAACATGTATACACACTTTAACAACAGACAGCTCACTTTTGAAAGTGAAATGTATTTTAATAAACTCAGCCTTTATAATTATTCAAAGTGTATGTATATTTTTTGAGGGTACACCCTATATTTAAGTTATATGCAAATATGTAGATATATTGTTTGTGATAGAAAAAATTGGAAATAACTTGAGTGTCCAATAGCTAGGAATTGGTGAAATATATTTTGTAATACCATAGATATTTATGATTTCCCAGCATTCTTTGGAGATTTTCTTTTTGTACATAATAGTAGTTAAGGGCATGACCCTTGAAGTTAGACATACTCTTCAGTAGTTAAAACTAATGTTGTAGATCATTAATTTAGTAACATGGAAATAGGTTACTATATCAGTAAGTGAGCAAAGCAGATTGCAAAACAGTATGGCCCCATTTTTGTAAATATACGCCCCCACACACACGCACATAGATAAATGTGAAATACTACATCTAAAATTCTAACAATGTTATTGCTTAGTGGTTGGATTATAGATGATTCTTGTCCCCCCTCCCCCCTTTTTGGCTTATCTACATGTTCTGGTTTGTCTGCAATGAAAAGATTATGACTTGTGTAATGAAGAATAAATAAGTAAAATGCAAGGAGGATGGAGGGGAAGGGGTGCCTTTTGGTGACCTGTTTCACCTGTGGGTTCTTTCCTTAGGTGAAGTTTGCCAGAGATTCCGGCTCTGACGGGCAGAGTGTTAGTTCCCGGGATTCTGCCGCCCCTTCTCCCATTCCTGGTGCTGACAGCCTACCTGCTGATCCTGTTGTGTCACCACCCACATCGGTGCCTTTCAAGTCAGGGTCACATACTGGATTTGTATCAAGCTCTATTTGTGCATACAAATTATTCTTAGAGAGGTTTAGAAATAGGGGTATAGTTGAAAACTAAAAAAAAAAATTTAAATAACTTAAAAATGTGATGAGGAAAATGGGAAGATACTTGCATCATGTTTTTCTGACAAAGGATTAATATTCATAGTCTGTAAAAGCACTAACTCAGATATTTAAGAATGCCTGCTAAACCCTGGAATAAAATTGGTTAAAAGGCATAATCACAAAGTACATTTTGAAGGGAAAAAAATGTAAATAAGCATTTGGATAGAAAATTATTCATCTTCACTAGCTTTCAGAGCTTAAGCAAACTAAAGAGTTAAATTTTTGTTTTACAGCTATAAATTGGTAAACATTTTCAAAAACAATTTGTTTATCAGTATAATTTGGACTTATGATTATGGATTTTGTTTTCATCTCAGGATATGTTCTGCTTGCTTTCAGGGAGCCGACTCTTCGTATCAAATCTAATTCCCTCAGTGAACAGCTTACAGTAAATACAGTGAGTATATGAATCTGTCTTCCCTCACCCCCAATTTGCTGAAAAGTTTTCATGTATGAGTAAGGATAAAAAAATGTTGAGAACTGTAGATGTAGCTGGAAATTAATGGTTAATTTATTCATTTCCCCTTACTTCTGCATAGACAGACTTGGGTTCAAATCTTTATTCTTATAATCATGTGGCCTCCAGAAAGTTATCTAGCTTCTCTGATCCTCAGCTTCTTTATTATTAAAATGCAAATAATTCTCACAGCCTCCTTACAGAGTTCTTGTAATGACTAGAGACATGTTTGTAAAACACTAAGCTCAGAGCCTATTTATAGTATGTCTTCAATAATCTCTCAAGAGATTTTTCTGAGGTTTACATGAAATAATGCCTATGGAGTTTTAGTATTATATCTGGCATATTGTAAAAGTGCATAACATTAGCTTACTATTATTGTAATTACTACATATTGTAATTACACTACATGTCTACATATTTTCATTCTCAGAGGAATTCTGTCCTAATTCACCAGCTAGTTGACTTTGAACAGGACATTGGCCTCTGTGTTTCCCCAAATGTAAGATAAGATCAATACACTGTTATAGTAAAATTTGGATTTGAATATCTTGAAGGAGGATGTACACTAGTTTGTTGCTGCCCTGCCTGGTTTGTGATGGCATCTGAGTTTGCTACATGTGGATGAGATGATAACTAAAGTACTTCAAGTTCTAAAGTTCTGTGACCTTCACCTACCATATTTGGAAACAAGATGATTATGTGGAGTGAAATTGATAAGTGATTTCTCTATAACCCTAGTTTACTTATTTATGTTCAGCCCAAAGCAGGAATTATTAAGCAAATAATTGATCTGATATGTGTAAAAAGTGATCTCCTAAACCCAGAAGGTAAAGCCAAAGAATCAGAAGAAAACTGAACAACAATTATAATTTTAGATTTTTAAACAATCACAAAAAATTGTCCAGTATTGGTTCTATTTTGCTTTCTAAACATGGCTACTTTTGTTAACTATTTCTAAGTTTCAGTAACCTTTAGTATACTAGTGATCTGCCTTTCTATTTTTTAATATTTTTTAAATTGAGGCAAAATTCACATAACATAAAATTAACCATCTTTCTCTATTTTACATTTAAATTTTTTAAAATATATATTTTATTGATTTTTTTACAGAGAGGAAGGGAGAGGGACAGAGAGTTAGAAACATCGATGAGAGAGAAACATTGATCAGCTGCCTCCTGCACACCCCCTACTGGGGATGTGCCCGCAACCAAGGTACATGCCCTTGACTGGAATCGAACCGGGGACCCTTCAGTCTGTAGGCCGACGCTCTATCCACTGAGCCAAATCAGCCAGGGCTAAATTTTTATGTTTTGTTTTGAATAGGTAATTACATTCAAATAGTGTAGTTAGCAAAACAATATAACAAGATATACATTGAGAAGACTCATTCCCACCCCTACCCCCATCTCACTACTCATTCCATCTTACCCCTCTTACGTAACTGCTTTTATTAGTTTCTTATATATTCTTTTAATTTTTCTTTATGCAGATGCAAACAAATTTTAATATGTGTTTATTTCCCTTTCTTCCACAAAAAATAGCATACTATATACTATCTACCTTGCTTTTTGCATATTATAATATACTAGAGGTCCGGTGCACAAAAATTTGTGCACTCGGGGGGGAGGGGAGGTCCCTCAGCCCGGCCTGTGCCCTCTCGCAGTCTGGGACCCCTCGGGAGATAACGCCCTGCTGGCTTAGGCCTGCTCCCGGGTGGCAGAGGGCAGGCCCAATCCCTAGGTGCAGCCCCTGGTCGGGCTCAGAGCAGGGCTGATTGGGGAGTTGGGGCGCCGCCCCCTGTCATGCACAGAGCAGGGCGGATTGGGAGGTTGCAATGCCACCCTCAGTCACCCTCAGGGTAGGGCCGATTGGGGGGTTGGGGCACCACCACCTGTCACACTCAAGGCAGGGTCGATGGGGAAGTTGTGGCGCCACCCCCCGTCATGCACAGAGCAGGGTCGATCAGGGGGTTGGGGAGCTCCCCCCTGTCACTCACAGAGTAGGGCCAATAGGGGAGTTGGGGCACCGCCCCCTGTCACACACAGAGCAGGGCGGATCAGGGTGTTGGGGCGCTGCCCTCTATCACCCACAGAGCTGGGCCGATCAGGGGGTTGGGGCGCTGCCACTCTCACACTCAGGGCAGGGCCGATGGGGAGGTTATGGCTCTACCCTGTCACACACAGAGCAGGTCCCGTGGGGCGGGGCGGGGGGGGGTTGGGGCGCCGCACCCTGTCACACACAGAGCCGCAGGGCGATCAGGGGGTTGGGGAGCTCCCCCGTATCAGGCACAGAGCAGGGCTGATCAGGAGGTTGGGGCGCCTTCCCCTGTCACGAACAGAGCAGGGCGGATAGGGAGGTTGTGGTCCCGCCCCCTGTCACACACAGAGCCGCAGGGCGATCAGGGGGTTTGGGCGCTGCCCCCTGTCACGCTGATCCTGGTGCCGGGAGGCCTCTCTGCTCCACTGATTCCAGTGCTGGGAGGCCTCGCGGCTCTGCTGATCCCGGTGCTGGGAGGCCTCGCGGCTCTGCTGATCCCGGTGCTGGGAGGCATATTACCCTTTTACTATATAGGATAGAGGCCTGGTACATGGGTGGGGGCTGGCTGGTTTGCCCTGAAGGGTATCCTGGATCAGGGTGGGGGTCCCCACTGGGGTGCCTGGCCAGCCTGGGTGAGGGGATGATGGCTGTTTGCAGCTGGTCACACACCTTTCAGGGTGGGGGTCCCCACTGGGGTGCCTGGCCAGTCTGGGTGAGGGGCTGAGGGCTGAAGCTCCCAACTGCTCCTTTTTTTCTTTTTTTTTTATTCTGGGCCAGCTTTAGCTCTGGCTCCAGCTCTGAGGACTCTGCTGCTGAAAGCAGGTATCTGGTTTGTTTGTGTTCTATAATCGAAACAATGTATAACTCCAGCTCTGAGATCCCGGCTTGCTGAAAGCAGGTTTCTGGGGTTTTGTTTAGCTTCTATATTTGTTACAATGTTTCAAACTGTAGGCTCAGAGGCCGGCAAGGCAGGCGGGGAACGTTGGTTTCCTCTGTCACTGAAGCAAGCAAGCCTCATGTTAGTTTCAAGCTGCCTGGCTGCCGGCCGCCATCTTGGTTGGCAGTTAATTTGCATATCGCCCTGATTAGCTAATGGGAAGGGTAGCGGTTATATGCTAATTACCATGTTTCTCTTTTATTAGATAGGATGTAATGATATCTTCCCATATTAGTGTATACAAAGTTTTCTCATTCTTATTTTGTCTCTAGATCATAGTATTCTATTGTATGGAGTCTTCTCTTGACAGATCCAACATTTTTTTATTATGCATATCCATCAGTTAAGGAAAAAATGAGCACATACTCTCAGTCCATGTCTATTTACAGATTATATAATGAAGTTCTGTCAATCCTGTAAACAGGTTTATTATCTTGTTACTGTAGCTTTAAAATAATTTAAAAATAGAGGTTATGATAATTTTTCTGTGCTCAATAGATCACCTTATGTACTCTCCACTGAAGGCTGTACTTTGGACCAGTTAATCGATGCATATGCTTCTAGCACAGGGTCTAGTGTGTAGTCAGGGTTACTACGCTAGTATGTAATATGTAGTTAGTGCCAAGTCATAGTTAAATGAACCCAAATTTAGAACAAAGAGCTCCTGTTTCCTTCTCTCCCCACATCTCTTCTGAATATCTATCTACTGAATTTTCCCCAGACTTTTGAGAGGGTGCAATAATCTAAAGTGCCTCCTTCCTTTAATCTGTACTTTATTTTTCATCTGTAAAATGAGAATAATTATGCCTGGTGGGGAGACTTGATTGAAATGAAGTAATACATATGAAACCACTTTGTCCAATCCAAATATATAGGGAATTATTTTTACTGTTATTATTATGTATGACCCTTGTATGTTTCTAGGCCAGGAAATGTTCTCATTTTCTAGAAGAGATGGTTTCAAATAGATATGTCAGGGGGACTTGTTGAGTATGATACAAGAGCCAAAGACATAGAGTTAACTGAAGGTAATGAACCTTGATAACAGTGATTTTTATGACTTTCCTGTCTTTATAGAATCCTGATACAGTCAAGGCCAAGTTGATCTCTCGGATGGCTAAAATGGGCCAGCCCATGCTGCCCATCTTTCCACCACAGCTGGATTCCAATGATTCAGAAATTGAAGTATGTTCCCCTGACTGTATTAGAATGACTAGTGCAGAAGTTGCTATCATTTGTTCCTTTGGTTGAAATTAGCTGCTTTTTCTGCCTCTAGCCCAGAATCATTATTTAGAGAGTTTGTATTCAAAATGAAACAGGTTGTTATCGGTACATGTGTTTCTATTATGATAGCAGTTCCTCTGAGAAACAGAAGCAATTTCATACATCTGCCACAAGAACTGAGCATTTTAAGTAGGTAATTTAGCCTTCCATCGGAACTCTATTGCCAGTAAAAATCACTCTGTAGGAATCATGATGCCCAACTCATGAAAGATGCTCAACTTGTATTTGTTGATTGAATGTTTGGGCCCTCTTGGGAAATGGTGGTCTTCCCACTGATGTTATCTATACTGAAGATAACACTGTTGTGTCTTTTGGCATTGTATGTGGTGTGATTTTTTGAAGTTCAAGAACTTTGTTGCAATCAAATCAGTTTTTTTCCTTTATGATTCGAAAGCTTTCCCAATCATATGTGTTTTTAAGAAATATTTATTATTTTACATTAAATATAAAATTTTAATCCATCTTAAAATTGTATGATATGAAATAACTTAATTTTAATTTAATTCTTTTCTCATTGGTTGGTTCTTTATTGATGAAACCATCCTTTTTCAATTGAAATGCTTAATAGAGATTGATTTTTTTATTTTTTGATGTAAAACATAGAAAAGATCATATTCCTAAGAAAAATTTTCCAAAATAGCTTTATTTTTTATAACTTTGTTTTATCTCTTTTTGGAAAAGTGATAAGTAGATTTAACACTTAAAGGAGAGATTTCTGTTGTTATAGGATTGATTTTTATTTGGTCTCTGGAAATGAAATTTGGACTGGATCATATTCTTATTAAAAATTTCAAGTGTTACTTATTCATTATAGAATAATTTGAATTATAAAGAAAAAAGAAACATATTTGATAATAAGGGCATTCTTCTATATATATTGCTGTGTAACCTGATTTTTTAACTTAGCGTCATGTCATAAACATTTATGTTAATATCTAATATAAATAAGGTAAATAAATAAAGCAAAGCATTATTATCTTTAAAGGCAACCCAGTGCTCTAGTAAATTCATTTATCATATTTCCGTTGGCTCTGTTGTTAGACATTTAGGTTAATTTAGAGCTCTAGTGATGTAAAAGTGAGATGCTTTTCCAGAAATGCTTGATATATTTCTGAGTATGTCAGGAACAAGAGGAAGTATCAAATTAAAAGAGTGAGGTTTCAGCCCTTGTGTAGCAAAGCAGATCACAGTCACTATACATTGTGCCTCAGGTTTTTCTTTTCCTTCTCTAAATAAGGAAGATGTTTGTAAGATACCTTTGTTTAGAGGTACAGTAGAGAACAACAGTGCTTTGACTTTTATGAAAGGAAAGAATGGGGGAAAACACTCTAAAAGTATATTCTATGGTAATGAGATGCAGTGGACCCTGGTCTGTTTTCATTGGGTACCTGCAGGTCTAGGGAGATTATTTAGCAGGAAAGAAGAGGCTGGCTTATTCCCTGGGTTTCCTTGCAAGAGACCCCTCTTCTGTGGGAACAGATAGGTCAGGCTTAAGGTCACTGCTGTTTTGGTAAATGAAATGTTCTGGAGAGCAGTCAGTTTAGCTGCTTCAAGTAATAAAACTTAAGCAACTTAGAATGTGTGAAGAAATTATATTCAATTATTTGATAAAATTTACAGGGAGAGGGATTTTACTCTATTACATAATACATTGCTTTCTCCCCACAACCCATACCCCGAACTCTTACCTTCCTGCTTGCTTTTCCTTCCTCTTCTGTGTTGTAAGCAGGGTTAGGGTGGATAGCCAACCTTAGTCTTCAGCTAAGGACTCATACATAATAACGAAAACGCTGGTGCCTGTTTCAGGAAGTGAATGCTCTGCGAGGAGCTGGGCAACCCATGCCGCCTCCATCCATTCAGCCCTCTCTTCAGCCTGCGCAGCCAGTGCTACCACAGGTTACCACACACGGTAAGGAAACCCTCTGTGACTCTGGCCTTGAATTGGGTCGGCACCAAAGTTATCATCACTCTTCTTTATATTGTTAGGCTGCATTGTTTCAGTACTGAGAACTGGGCTAGAATGTCAAACTTGTCAGTTCATCCCCGAGTAGGGCATTTTCAGACCTGGTGGTGTATTGAGTCTGCTTCCTATGTTGCATTGAGAGTTTTGGAATTATGCACTCAGCTACTGAGATATCTCCCTCTGTATAATTCTGCACTTCCTGTCAGCTGATGGGATTGTCCGTTTGAGTTAAATGCCCCTGAGAACACCCACTTTCGTTCCACTAGCCCCGTGGTCGGCAAACTGCGGCTCGCGAGCCACATGCGGCTCTTTGGTCCCTTGAGTGTGGCTCTTCCACAAAATACCATGTGCGGGCGCACGTACAGTGCGATTGAAACGTCATGGTCCATGCACAGAAGTCGGTTTTCGGCCTGGGCGAGTCTATTTTGAAGAAGTACTGTTGATATTTGGCTCTGTTGACTAATTAATGAGTTTGCCGACCACTGCACTAGCCCATAGCTGAGACTCCAGGTTTTAAAAGATTAGGTGAGGAAAGTGGTCAAGGCTGAAGCCCGAAGGTTTGTAAGGTGCTACTTTGGACTCACACAAGCAAGGGTGGGTAATGGTGAAAATTTCTTGCTTTATCTTAGCACCTCAGCCGTCTGTTTCTGGACTCCAAGCACCCTCTGCTGCCTTAATTCAGGTTGCACCTCTCGATTCCCACTCCTCAGCTGTATCTGGAAATTCCCAGTCCTTTCAGGTAATAACATTTAAAAACCATGTCATTTATAATCTGTAATTTATAATGGTCCAGTCAGTCTTTTTTCTTCTTCCTGCACAGTTCATACAATAGCAGCTCTCTATAATCAGATTATAGTTTTCCTCTTCCTGAACCACTTTTTCATCCCTAAACCAGTCAAAGGATTACGTGCCTTATGGGTTGTTTTAAAGATTAAGTGCAAGAACAGACAAAGCATCTGGTTCAAAGCCTAGCACACAGTCAAGGCCCAATCCATGATTGTTTCCTTTTCACACATGCCTAGCAGAGAGATACACGTCTCCTGTATTCTTTTCTTTCAGACAGCGGATAGGCTGAGATTCTGTACTGTACTCAGCACACCCACTTTTGTTCCATTAGCCCATAGCTGAGACTCTAGTAGAATTGGTTTTAAAAGATTAAGTGAGGAAAGTGAGGATATTGTGTTTATCCCTACTGGCCAAAGTCAGCACAGTAATTGTAGGTTGAGGGTGGAGGCTGCAGAGAAAGTTCAGCTGTACTCTGGTGTCCAACTAAAAGTGACTCCTTAACGTAGGTTTTTTCTGTTTTTACAGAGGCAGTGGCAGCAGCCTGTCTGCCTCTGCTGACTGTTTGCCAGGATAGTGGACGCTTTCTTCTACTCCTGTACCTTTGATGGATGAGACATACTCCCAATGATATGGGAGTATGTCTCACTTCCTTGGTGATTCTTTTTTTTTTTTTTTTAATATATTTTATTGATTTTTCACAGAGCGGAAGGGAGAGGGATAGAGAGTTAGAAACAACGATGAGAAAGAAACATCGTTAAGCTGCCTCCTGCACACCCCCCACTGGGGATGTGCCCGCAACCAAGATACATGCCCTTGACCGGAATCGAACCTGGGACCTTTCAGTCCAAAGGCCGATGCTCTACCCACCAAGCCAAAGCGGTCAGGGCTCCTTGGTGATTCTTAATGGAGGGGTGGAGTGATGGTGGACAAGGTGTATCAGAATTGAAAAAGTCCCACTTGCTTTCTCTCCACTCCCTGATGGAGAATTATCATCCCATAGACTAATATTTTTTAATATATAATTAATGGGTAGTTATATATCTGAAGTTATAGAAGCTTAATTTCTTTAATTCAAAGAACAGTAACTATCATCATCAAAATGACAGCTGCTGTTTGTTGAGCATTTCCTATCTGCCGGGCACTTAACTTATTAGCTGTTAGGAACATTACCTATGCATCACTACATTTCGTCCACACAACGACCCTAAGAAGTGGTGTTATTATTTTCATTTTATATTTGAGAGGTGACTGAAGCTCAGAGGAAAATAGAGCTCTTGGTTACACAGATGAGCAGAAGGTAGCAGGAGAGAGGCATCATTTGGAACCTGGTGCATTTAGTTTGGCATCTCAGTGAACAACTCTCCTTTTACCTCAATGGAAACTAAGCAGAGTTGTCTTAGTTTTAACATTTCTTAAACCCAGGCCTGATGGCTGAGATATGAATTCCTACTTAATCAGATCGTATCACCAGAGGACTGAGGAGTGACCTGACACCTTTCCCTCCCTTTCTAGGTAGGACTTCAGTGACCGGTTACAAAGCCAGTGCTCCTGCTGAAGTTCTTAATACCAGACCCCCATCTCATCCATCTCCAGCTTCAATAAGTTGGAATCTCCTTCTAGCTTGTCCACTTGATTCTATCAAAGATAAATTAAGCAAAAAAGAAAGGCACAAATGTTTGTAAACCAGCTGTAACTTGGCATTTTCTCAGCCCTATGCAGGTATGCCAGCCTATGGTTATCCCCAGGCACCAACTGTCACCTCCCAGCTGCAGCCCGTTCGGCCCTTGTACCCAGCACCGCTCTCTCAGTCTCCCCATTTTCAAGGTAGGTAGTTTCCCATCATATTTTGCTGTGCTCTTCTTCCTCCCATCCGGTTTTCATGTTTACTCCAATAGATCTCTGCCCTATTTTTCTTATCTTTTTAAAAATAGCTTTCTCGAGGTATCATTTAGAGACCATGCAATTCACTCATTTAAAGTGTATAATTCAATGATTTTTTAAAGTAAATTAACAGAGTTGTGCAACTATCACCACAATCCAATTTTAGAACATTTCCATCATTCCCCTCCCACCCCCCCCCCAAAAAAAACCCCTCATCTCACTTTCTGGGTTTTGTTTCTTGCATTTTTTCCCCAGCCCTTTTTAAATTCCTCTGTCAGTGTGGCTCTGTAGAATTTATTAAAAATAGCAAAACATTGGAGGAAATTGGGAGAGAGCACGATGGCTGTTTGTGGATGTTCAGTATCTCAGGTGAAAGCTGATCTGTTAAAATTTTTAAATTATGAAAATAATATACTTTTATTAAAAGTCCAAATAACACAAATGTGAAAAGTACTGTCCTCCATCATTAAAACCCCCTGACCATAGGAAACTGTTTTAAACAGTTACTTAGGTAACTTTTCAGGTATCTTGTATGCATGTACAAGTGTGGTTGTCTAGTGTATAAAACAAAATAAAATGTAAACAGCTGGGATGGTGTTCTACCTTCTTGCTCTGAAGCTTGTCTTTTGCGTAATGATCATCTTTGCTATTAGGATAGTGGTTGGAAGAACAAGTATATCCTACAACATAATTTATGGGTTTCCTGGATGCAACCTTTGTCTAGAAACCCTGTCCCTTCTCCATCCAAGAAACCATGAAATCTGTCATCTCCTCTGTATAGTTACCATCCCTCCCTCCTCTCCTTCAAGAGACATGATTGTGTCTGTGTGTCACCAAATAGTTAATCTTGATTTTCTCTGTGGTCCTTTTGTACATTCTGTTGTAATGATCTCTTTACATGTGAGTCTCTGCCCACCAGACTGTGAGCTTGCCTGGGGTAGGACCATGTTTTATTAATTGTTGTATCCCTGGTACCTGGCACGCAATTGGATGAATGGAGAAACAATCTGAGCTGCTAGTGCTATTGCAGACGGAAGTGAGCCTACTTGTGCCCTTGGACCAAGCTGTATCCCCTGGTGCATTTTGCAGGAGCATAACCTGGTTATTGTTAGCAGCCTTTTGGGTCTGTCTGCTCTACATCTTCTCCTGAAGTGTCAGTACAGGATTTTCTGGTGTTTAGAAATGTTTCTTTCTTTCCTCTGCTGATGGCTTTTCCTCATACAATGTCCTCTACTCCAGTTTCGTAAGTTTCTTTTTTACTTCTTTCTCTTTAGGATCTGGTGACATGGCTTCATTTCTCATGACTGAAGCCCGACAGCATAACACTGAAATTCGAATGGCAGTCAGCAAAGTGGCTGATAAAATGGATCACCTCATGACCAAGGTGCCTGTCAGGTCGGGGACTATGTTGGAAATGGATACAAGCAGGGGTACCCATAGGGAGCAACCAGGGCTGTAGGTAAACTCTTTCTTGGTTTCCTGTGTTCATAGTAGTTATTTCCCTAGAGGATATTTATTATTTTGGGATCCAGTTAGCAGAAGAAAGCTCTAGTTTATATTAGAGATTATCTCAGAAACTCATTAGCCCCCGCAAAAAAGGGGTTCTATCTTGGGTATGTTATATTTCTCCACTTAGAATTTTCTCACAAAGTCGTTCTGGCACCCCTTTTGTAGGTTGAAGAGCTACAGAAGCATAGTGCTGGCAATTCCTTGCTCATTCCTAGCGTGTCGGTTACAATGGAAACAAGAATGATCATGAGCAACATCCAGCGAATTATTCAGGTAAGGTGATCAGGAGCAGAGCATAGCCTGGAGTCTTGCCCTGTTCTCTCCCCAGACTTACTACCCTTTAAAACCTCCACTCCGGAAATGGAGAGCATGTGATAAATGCCACACTGAGGTGGGAAATTCTGGAAAATCCATTACGGCTTAATTCGGTCCAAGTGACATCACTATATAGTTAGGAGGAAACATTTCTCTTTGAGCATATTTCAGAATTTTGCTTTATTTTATAGCCATTTATATGTTTAATCTATTGGGCATAGTGATTTGTATTCCTCAGGTATAAGTTGTTTTAAGTATTATATAAGTTTTTTACCTCAAAATATGTAACGTTGCTGTCCAAGTTGATTCCCTTTTATCTGGCACTTTTCTCTTAAAAACTTAAGATATACATCATACATTTTGAATCCAGGAAAATGAAAGATTGAAGCAAGAGATCCTTGAAAAGAGCAGCCGGATAGAAGAACAGAATGACAAGATTAGTGAACTAATTGAACGAAATCAGAGGTAATGACAGGTACGGGGCACTAGCTAGGATGGACAAAAGGGTTTAATTTGTAAATGCCCAAGTTAAATAAACATATCTGTTTAGGGCAATTTATCTGTATTTCTCCTACTTCTGTTTCCTGCCTGTCATGTGAATTATTGCTTGTTTTCTGGGAGGCGTTTCAGTAGAAAGAGCTCAGTAGGCTGTGATGTAAGGCAGACCTGTGCTTGAATCCCAGCTGTGCTCTTCGTTACCTGCTTTAGGTATTGTGTTTATTCCTGCTGACCCTAGTTTCCATAAAAGTGATGCTAATACTTAGAAAACTGATATCAACTCTTCCTCCTCTGTGTAGGTTGAATCTATTTAATCAACCAGAACCTCACTGATTTCCAAGCATTTTATAATTTTTCTAGATCCTTTTGAAGATTTGAGGGTGGGTCAGGAATACATGTCATGGCATATAGTGTTTCACTTAAAAAAATCATTCTCCCACATTTTTCTTCTTCATGTCTCTTGTCTCTCACATGGAAGGGGGGCAGGGAGGGGCTTTCTTTTCTTCCCTCTTGCAGCCTTCTTACTCCAGTCTCTTTTGCCTTCTCATCCCCTTCACCACAACACACCCCCTTCCAATTTCTCTTCTCTTCATTATGCAAATTCAAAGCAGTTCACCTCCAGCCCAGGTTCCTGACTCCAAACTTGATTGCAGCTCCCAGGGAAAGAAAAAGCTTTTATATTGTTCATGAAGGTAGAGAGCAGTGTTGTGAGGACTGAATGTGTGTTACACCTGGAATACATTTGATGCTTGCTAAATGTTTTCTTTTTCCCTATTTATTTCATAGGTATGTTGAGCAGAGTAACCTGATGATGGAGAAGAGGAACAACTCACTTCAAACAGCCACAGAAAACACACAGGCAAGGGTATTGCATGCTGAACAAGAGAAGGTAAAGTCACTGGGGAGAGAAAAGCCCAGATCAGGATGTGTAGAGCTCAGGAGTGGTCCTGTGTACGTAATTACCAATCTGCTTTTCAACAGAATTTTTGCTCTCATTGGGAAGAGAACTAGAAATCTTCCAATAGATTTTAATATGTCCATCATCCAGATATCTGTTAGGTAATATACTTTGCAATAAGTTGATTCAGAAGCAATCACTGATCTTAGTAATTTATGAATTATACAGCTTATTACAAACTAAATCTATTCTGTTGATAAGAAAGTAGACAACTGTAAAAATGCATGTAAAGTATAATAACAGTATGATAGTGCAGGGGAGATGGTTCAACCCCATGACTACATTGCTGTCCAGAAAGCAAGACTGGTCATGAGAAGAGCAACCACTTACTGCCTTTCCTGTTAGCTCATTTCTAATTTTTATAGGAGCACACCAGTTCAGGTGAGATTAAGGTGGTATTTGTCACTTGTTTTTACCATTCCTATTTATTGACATTCTTTTAATCATAATTTTCTTTATCACTCTTAATACACAGAATATCATTAGAGGGTTTTCCAGGTTAGATTTTGCAACCAATATTTTACTTCCGTTTGTCTAGCGCAGAGCACCATTTAACATACATCAAACAGTCAAAAGTTGAAGCATTCCCTTCTTTTATTAGCTCTGTTTTTCTAAGAACCCCCAAAGCAGTAACTCTCATGGGGCTGATCTTTACATTATAGTACTACTGGTAGTGCAGTACCACAGGGGAGAAATTATAGTTGATTGCCATTGAAGACATTCAGTTTAAATTTCTAAATTTCCTTTTTTATTTAAAAAAATACATGTAGAAAAGTTAGGAAATGGTAGGAATACCTTTTTTTCATGTATCAGATTGGTGATGTTTACCAATAGGTTGTGACTGTATCCAGTGCTATTAATATTCTTTGACAACACCATTCAGGGTAGTTGTCATACTTTGCTTAATTAAGCTCATTTTTGAGCATTTTATCTTTTCATTCTTTTCCAACTACACACAATGCTACATCAAACATCCTTGTAGCAACATTTTTGTAATCTTCCAAAGTATTTCCTAAGGACACATTTCTTCAAGGGAATTCCTGAGTCAGACACTTTGTACATGTGAAGGTCTGATTTTAGTTCAATGCAGATTGAAGGTGGGATTAGCTCCCTTTCTACCAGTGCAGTCAGCATAGAGTATGTGAGGCTGGGTCATCACTTAGAGACAAAGAACACCCATTTTAAAGTTACGTCATACTTTGTTACTCTTTAGGCCAAGGTGACGGAAGAGTTAGCAGCAGCCACTGCACAGGTCTCTCACCTGCAGCTGAAAATGACTGCTCACCAAAAGAAAGAAACAGAGCTACAGATGCAGCTGACAGAAAGCTTGAAGGAGACAGACCTCTTCCGGGGCCAACTCACCAAACTGCAGGCCGAGCTCTCAGGTGTGTCCTGTGTAGAGAGGGCTGGGACTTTGACCATTTAAACTTAAGGAATTAAACTATTTCCTTCCTCTCAATACCTTTGGCATAATGCTCATGAAGTTTGTGAAGACTGAGCCAAAAATTAAGGTGGGCCAGTGTAAACCTACGTAAAGGACAACAAAAGAACTGACTATGCGTGTAGAATTGACCAGGGGCCACAGTTCCTCTTTGTTTGAGCCAAGTGTTGGCCTTCAATACCTTCGGACTTAGAATTGGCCTCGTAGGCCTGGACGTTAGAGTTGCTCTAACTCTTGACAGTGGAAGTTTTTGAAAGAGATGCTTCCTGTACTGGTTGCCTGTTTCCTGGAGAATAGAGTGCAGCTCTTTAGCCAGCACTCAGGGCCCCTCCGTCTTGGCTTGTTTCCCATTATGCTGCTCAGTTCATCCTGGCTCTGCTCTTCAGCACATCTGTAGTTCTTGTCTTGCTTTGTATCCATGCTGTTCTCTGGATTTGGTGTGCCCACCCTCACCAATATTTGTTCCCATTTTTTTCCCAACATCTGCCTCTTTCAGAAGATTTCCTTGTTTTTTCCCTACAATATTTGATCTTTTTAAAAATTTTTTTTTCCTCAGGCATCATTACAACCATTCTCACTTGTTGCCTTTGATCAGCACTATTTACATGTATGTTTTCCCCTCTAGAATGCAAGCCCCTAGAGGGCAAGGATGGTGTCTCACTCATATTTGTAAAGGCCTTTCCTCCAAATTAGTGTTAATTCAGTGCTCAAAGGTGGCACAAAGGTGGTGCTCAAGCCATGGTGACTTGGGTACAAGATTTGGGAAGACCAGCATGTTGATACATCCACCTCAGTGTATAGAAACAAATGTGGAAGACACAGATGGGACCAGTGGGTGAGCTGGAGCAGCAGCAGAGTGGGAAAGAAGCAAACTTCACTGCCTGGTAGCTAAAAAAACCAGTGATGTCAGCTGGTAGAGTGATATCTTAAAGATAAATCCCTTTTCTTTTAGAGCATAACCTGGGTGCACATGAGAGATAGGCTTAGATTTAAATGTCATACAGATATCTTCTTTTCTGCTTTTGTGGTGCCCTATGACAATTACCTCAAGAGTTCCATAGGGTCTCAAAAGTTTTCTAAACAAAATAAATGATGCATTACATTTTTAAGAGATATTTCAAATAGCTTTATTTGAGAAGGCATATTTTGAAAGCAAACTTTTGGTAGAATATCCCAGCTACCAAGAAACTTGAAAATACTTTACCCAGCCAGTGAGAAAGGGCTGGACCAATACCAAACAGATCTGGCTAACGTGCTAAGACAGTGGCTGTAATGGAATTGTGGGAGTGATATATTTTTAAGGTGGCCTCTAACTGCTTGGAACTTTCCCGTTTTGTACGGGTTAGTGGAGAAGTCACTATATGGCTTGATGAATCTATGGCTGGTCAGTGAGGTGACAACTGAAAGGACTGAGGCAAAGATGCTTGTGTGGTAGGATTGGGAGAGCACACAGTGCAGCTTCTCAGAAGCTTCTGGGATGCTGTATAGCATGCTGTAGCTCTGGTTCTGCAGCCAAGTGTCTCTGCTGTTACATCCCAGAGCTCCAAGAAACCTCTGAGCAAGCACAGTCCAGATTCAAAGGTGAAAAGCAAAGCCGGAAGCAACTGGAACTCAAGGTGACAGCGCTGGAGGAAGAGCTGGCTGACCTTCGAGCTGAGAAGCAGTCTCTGGAAAAGGTAAGTTTTAAAACTGAACTTTCTCTGTTGAACCCCAGTGGCCAGGATTAGCTGTTTAATACACCTTTTTACTTTCCTTTTAAAGATTACAATAGTATTCAAATAAGACAGAAAAGTATAAAATTAAAATAAATTTTATCTTAAAAAATAAAATTTTTCTTTTCCCCCTATCTAATCTCATATGTTAGAGGTAGCTATAAACAATGTGTCCTTCTGGGTTGTTTTCTGTGTGTATAAAACACACACACACACTCACTTATACCTGCATAGACATAGCTACACTGATGATCATGTTTTAACAATAATGGGGTCGTATTTAATGCTTTTTCACAACATTGTAGACATTGTACTAATAACAATGAGAACTTTCTCATTCTTTTTAACTGCTGCATAGTCTGCTATGAGGTGGTACCATAATTTACTTCACTATTCACCTATTGATGGATATTTATGTTTCTCTTTCAAGCATTGCTACTTTGGACATCCTTGTACTATATAACTATTTTCGCAAATTTATTTGAGCATTCCCATAAACTAGATGGTTTGAATTAGAATTGCTGGATCAGAGGAAATGCTACACATCTAAAATTTTAAAATAAATATTGCTAGGTTATCAGAAAGTAGAGTGGGCTGGCTTACACTTCCAGCACTATGTGCGTAAACCATTTCTCCATCCCTTTTTCCAACCTGCATATATCAAGTTTTTCTAATCTTTATAGTCAGATAGGTGACATATGCTATCTTGTTTTAACGTGTATTTTTGTTAGTAGTAAAGCTTTCATATATTTAATACCTATTTGTTTTTTTCTGTGCCTCTTTCCTTTGCCCTCTTTTCTATTATAATATTTGATTTGTAAACACTATTAAGGGTATTAATCCTTTGGCAGTTATAGATGCCACAAATATTTTTCTAGTTTTCTGTTTTTAAACTTTATAGTATCTTTTGTTGTGTTAAAATTTTAATATCAGGGTAATTTCAACCCCGTTGAACAAAGTAGGCAAATTTCTGTCTTCTCTATTTTCTGGAATGGTTTAAATATAAAAAGAACAAACTATTTCTGAGGTTTCAGTAAAACTCTCTAGTAAAGAAAGCCCTTTTGGCCTAGTGCCTTTTAGAGGATAAATCTTTAGGCTCCATTTTTTAGTTTCTTCTATGATTTTTATCAGTGTGTTTGTTTTTTTAACCAATTAATTCTGATTTTGTGGATGTTTTCAGTTTTTTATTGTTATAGATCCTCGTAGCACACAGTCTTTATGAACATGATTTATCATTTCCTTAAGATAAATTATAGTTTGTGGAATTTCTGGGTGTGCATATTTTGAAATCTTTTCACAAGACTGCCAAATCAACACCTAAGAGAATATACCCATTTATTTTCTTATCAATTGGGCGTGAAAGTCTCCACTTCACTGTTGCGATATTCCCCACCTCTTAATAGAATTGTAGTTAAACCTCTTGTTTTTCTCCTTGTTCCAATTTTCCCAACCCCCCAGTAGCCAAGAATGGTAAATACATAGGGAAAAATAACTAAAAAATGCATCGTTTTTAGAAATGAAGTAAGGACTCATTGAGGTCAGTCACCATTGCCACCATCTCCATTTATCCTCTGTTAAACAGCTAGAGCTGATGATAGTTCTCTTGTTCCTAAGAACCTCTCAGAAAGGAAAAAGAAGTCAGCTCAAGAGCGCTGTCAGGCTGAGGAGGAGATGGATGAAATTCGCAAGTCATACCAGGAGGAATTGGACAAACTTCGACAGCTCTTGAAAAAGGCTCGTGTGTCCACAGACCAAGCAGCTTCAGAGCAGGTAATAGGAAACAGCAGGTAATTTGGAAATAAAAGGAAGGCATGAAGGGCTCAGAGAAGTTTCTAGTTTCTTTATCCTTTATGGTGACATTTCTCATAGTCAGTGCTCTCACTTTGGAGAAAGATGGGAGAACGCAATCCAGATACAGGGTTGGGCAAAAGTAGGTTAAATTGCCAGCTATCATCTAAAAGATAAATCATAAGTAAGAATACAAAATAATAACAAAATAAAAAGACAAATAATACAAATAAATAGTACAATAACCTATACTAATTAAAGGTTAATATGCCAATTAGACCAGACGTCTTCCAGACGTCTTCTGGACGACTTCCGGACAAAGCCATGGTGACAGGGGCTGAGGTAGAGGCAGTTAGGGGCTATCAGTCCAGCAGGGGAGAACAGTTAGGGGCAGGCAGGCAGGCAGGCAGAGGCAGTTAGGGGCGATCAGGCAGGCAGGGGAGCAGTTAGGGGCATCAGGCAGGCAGGCTGAGGGGTTAGGAGCGAACAGGCAGGCAGGCAGAGTTGTTAGGGGCAATCAGGCAGGCAGGCAGGTGAGCGGTTATTAGCTTATTCTTTTGCCTTCCAAAAGATGGGCTTCTCTGGATGCAACTGGACCCCCAGGATACAGTGATTGCATTTTCTTGGCAGCTGTCTCTAGTACAGGCTGAGCTGCAGACCCAGTGGGAAGCAAAATGTGAACACTTGTTGGCCTCCGCCAAGGACGAACACCTGCAACAGTATCAGGAGGTGTGTGCACAGAGAGATGCCAGCCAGCAGAAGCTGCTCCAGCTGCAGGAAAAGGTAGGCGTTTTCCCCGGGGCCAAACAGCTTAGGCAGCCCAGGTATAGGAGACAAACAGGTTGTCTGAGTCTTGTTGTTTCTTTTGATCCTAAAGATGCCAATAGCTTAAAAACAAAATCACACTTGTTCAATTCTCCACAGTAATATTTCGCATTTATTTGGGATGGCAGATGAGTGACCTGCTAAAAGAAAAAGCAGCACTAGTATCTAAGCATGTTTTCCATTATTATTTGATCTTTTTATTAAGCAAGTATTTATTGAGTACCAGTTGTGTTCCAGACACGGTAGGGAAAAGGCTTACAAAGAACTTGGCCTTCTAGAATCTCAAAGAAAAGAAAGGGAGACAATAGAGCAACAAAGGTGAGCATTAAGTTCTATGAGGCCCAGAGAGGTGGTACCCAGGGGAGAAGAGCCAAGAAGGCCAAGTAGCTTTGGTAAAGTGAAGAGGCAACATAACATTCTGGAAAAAAGCACCAAGATACGATGGAGCTTGGATGTGGTGAAATCTTCTTGGCATAAAAATGAGAGGGAGAGAGAGAGCTAGGAGATGGCTTAGAGTCATGGCATGCAAGTCCCCATATCTAGAGGTCAATTTCTTTCTTTAAAGTATCCAGTTGAAAATCTTTGACTCAGAGATGATGAATGCAGTCTTGTAGGTGAATAGGTTGCTTTTAATGTCCAATGTTCACATGTCCATGTGACTAAACTTATAAGCTCCTTTTTTCATTATATTCTTGACCTGATTAGGAACAAGGCAAGTGACCTTGTTGGGAAAGAGGAGGTGAAGTTGTGAGATGAGATTAAGTGATGAGGAAGTAGATGCTCTGAGTCAGCAGGCATGGTGTAGGGGTGGAGGGTGTGGACACCAGCAGACCTACCTGAGGTTGACACTTGATGCTTAGGACGATCCTCCCACTGGGTTTCCTGAATTTCCCATCTGGTAGTCCAGCCCACAAGCACAGTCTGTGTCTTTTGCAGTGTTTAGCCCTCCAGGCCCAAGTCACAACCCTGACGGAGCAAAATGAACAGCACATCAAGGAAATAGAGAAAACTAAGTCGCAGATGTCTGGGGTTGAAGTTGCCACTGACTCATCAGAGAAGGTGAGCTGGTACTTTGAAGAAGCAAACTATGTCATACCAAGCATTCAGAAAGAATGTGGCCCATTTGTTGTGTTGATAACTTCTTTTTTAGCTTTAGTGATGCACCTTTTATCTGACTTAATTATAAGTTAACCCTTTGGAACCTATCACTTTTGTGGTAAACCCTGAGGGCCCTATCCTGAATTTTTGACAAATACAGGAAGTGCCCCTAAATCACAGGAGAAGAGTGGGGAGTATGCCCAGCACCCACTAGCCACTAATCCTGGAGCCCACAGAGCTCTCGTGGGGGTCACAGTGGGAGGGAGGCAATAATAGATGGTCTGTGAGCTGTCTTGGGCATAGCTTAGCCATCCTTGATAACTCTTTTGTCAAGGGCTGCTCATTGTTTGGTATTTCCCTCTGCATAGTAACTGCCTCAGTCTCTGAGTCCATGACCAGTTGTGTCCTGCTGTAGAGTTCTATGAAAGCTTCATTTTAGCCTTCCAAACCCTCTGGAATTTATATGCATTCCTCATCCCTTGATTTGTGCAGCATACATTTTGGTACTGTTTTCTCCCCTCACATCTTCATTCAGGTCAAGAAGATTATGAACCAGGTGTTCCAGTCCCTGCGGGGAGAGTTTGAGCTAGAAGAATCATATAATGGCAGGACCATCCTGGGGACCATCATGAATACCATCAAGGTACAGCCAACTGCAGATTATTGCACTGAAATGGGGATCTCATTGCTTAAGTACCTTCTAAGGCAGTGGTTCTCAACCTTGGCTGCACATTAGAATCACTTGCGAGTCTTTTTAAAATCCTGATTTCTGGGCCTCATCCTCCAGAAATTCGGTTTCTTTGTTATGGGGTGGGGCCACAACATTAGTAACGAAGAAACAGAATTTCCGGAGGATGGGGCCCAGAAATCAGGATTTTAAAAAGATTCCCAGGTGATTCTAATGTGCAGCCAAGGTTGAGAACCACTGTTCTAAGGGGTCGTGAATAAAAAATGATTCAAGACTGTTCATCATCAATTCAGATGCCTGTAATGACTTTTGTCTGGACAGATAGGGGCTGCCTCCTGTGAGAGGAAGAAGCAAAGCCATTTGAACTAGATGTTTCTAAGGTCTGAAGAACTAGGAGTGCCTGCTCATTCCCCTCAGTGATAATCTCCTTGGCTTTTGAATAGATGGTGACTCTTCAGCTGCTAAACCAACATGAGCCAGAGACGGGAGAGAGCAGCAATGAAGATGAGGAAGAAGAACAAGAAGAAGAGCAACCTCAGAGCCCTTCCCAGGAGCAGTCGGTCTCAGCCAGTTCTGAGCCGTCTCAAGCACCCCTAAGTAGGGAGAGGCAGGAGTCCCCCTTGGTGCAGACGGAGCAGGTAGTCAAGGAAGCTGGCCCATTGCCTCCTCAGGCCCCCCTCACCCCCCAGGAGGATGCACAGAGAAGGGAAGGGAAGTCCACAGAAGCAGAGGTGCTCGCAGAGATAAAAGATGATTCGCTCCCACCCAAACTGGCTTGCATCCCCCCTCACAGAGCTCTGGGGCCCCCGACTTCAGTTCCCCCTGAGCCTCCGGGCCCTATAACTGTGGACTCTGAGTTTGAGGAGACACTTGCTGCCAGCCCATTGGGAAATGCCTGTGTTGGGGAGCGAGAAAGCTCCACGAGACTGTCCCTGACTTTAGACCCTAAAAAGGGGGACGACCCACTGTCCTTGGAGCCTGAAAGTCCAGGAGGAGAGCCTCAGCCTCCAGAGTTTAAGAAAGAGGAAGATGTCACTAGTTCTGCTGGTCCCTCCAAGGAGCTGTCAAGCACAGAAGCAGGTTCTGTAGCTGCAGGGGCAGCGCTTGGACCCAACCCCTCTTCTCAGCGTTCCAGGTATGTCCCCTTGAGCAGTTTCAGGGACAAGGTGGCTGCAAGGTTGTCGCTGGTTTTTCCAGAGCTGACAGTTCATCCCTCAGAGACTGACTGATGGACTGAATCACTTTTTCATTCATTCATGCATTCATATATGTATTCAGTGATGCCTACTATAAAAGGCTCTGTAAGCCCTGTGATAGTGTGGTAGGCAAAGCAGATTTGGTTCTTAAGATAAGGAGCTTACAGTCTAGTGGGGACTGTTATGAAAGTATAAGTACTGAAAAAAAGAAACTGGGTGTATAATAGAAAATAAAGGGCGAGTTATTCTACTTTAGGTGGGGTGGTTCGGGATGGATTTTGAGAAGGTAACATTTAAACTGAGATCTGAAGGATGGGAAGGGGCCTTCTACACCAGGAGTGTGAGGAAGAGACTGCAGAAGGCGAGAACAGCACATGCAAAGGCTCTGCGGACGGAGGGGATGTGACACAGGAACTAAAAGAAGGCCCAGTAGTAGGAGAGGGCTGGTAAGCTGATGTTGGGAAACTGGGTCATAGGAGATTTTGTGTTACTGTTAGAAGTTTGGACTTTGTAAGTACAGTGAAAAGTGGTTAAAGGGATTAAGAAGAGTGACTTGCTCTGATTTATTAGCTTTAAAAGTTCTCTCAGCCTGTAGGTTATGGAGGGAGTCACGAGTGCTAGGAGGCCAGTGTGGGAGGAATTCCTGGGTGGTTACCCCAGCTGTCGGATTCTTACCCCAGAGCCTGTGGGCACTGTGTCTGGTGCAGGAACATTTTCTGTGACTTGATTTTCTTGATTTTTCTTTCAGTCTCTCTGGGGATGAAGAGGATGAACTATTTAAAGGGGCAACTCTGAAAGTTCCAAAGTCCAAAGCACAGTCTGAGGAGGAGGATGAAGATGAGGTGGTAAGGAGATCCCACACACTGCCAAGTCCTCACACCACTACCCGGGGGCTCTTCCCCACTGGCTCTGAGAAGAGAAATGGAGTCTGTTGGTGGCCCACTCCCTGGAGTCTGTGTGCAGGGCCCTGTGGGAGTGGGCGGGGGGCGGGGAGGGGGCAGCTCTGTAAGCATAATGGGGATGGTCAGGTACCACTTTACTCTTGAACAAGGACCACAATCTCTCTCCAGGCAGGAGTGGTTTTCACTGTAAGTGAGGAAAATTGGGCTGATTAGTCCTATATTAGAATGTTAATGCCTCAGGTTTTCTCAAATCCAGTAGGATATTATTTATATTTAAGAATTAGGAGTTTGAAGACTGTCATGCCTGGCATCCTTGTTCATAGACAAAGAGACTCAGGCTCAGACAGATTACTTATTTACCTGAAGCCACAGAATGAGTTAATGGCAGAGCTAGGACTAAACCCTCAAGCTCCTCCTATGACCACCAGTTTCTGAGCATTCTCTGCTTCCTCAGCCCACACCCAGCCTGCTGCCTTGTGTCCTCACAAGATTCCTGGGCAGAAAATGGGTTGAGTACTGAGGCATAGCCTCCAGCTACAAAGCTCCCGAGCAGAGGCCAGGAGGGCGAGTGGCTGATGGGGCCTGGTCAGAGCCCCGGTTCCTGCGTCTGCTGTCCCCGCTGTGCTGCTGAGGCAGCCGTGCCTGTCCCTGGGACATTTTGCCTGCTGCCGTGGGAATTTACTAGAGTGAAACATGGGGTGGAGCACAGGTCAGCTTAGCCTCAGCCTATCCCAGGAACAGAAAATGAGGTGAATGGGGGCAAATTCTCTCCCCTTGTGTATCAGCCAGGATGCGTTTTCCCTTTTGCCAGAACCTTGGGAAAATGGCAGTGACAGAGCTGGGGTCCAGCTCTCGTGTACCACAGCCCTTTCCTCCTGCTTGCGTTCCTTTGGGAAATGTGCCCCAGTTCCTCCCATTAACCCTTCTTTCCAAGAATTAAACTTTCATTTGAGAATTCTGTACTTTTTTAAAAAAAAAAGGAACCAAAATACCAATTGCATATTCCAAGTGACTGCCCTGAATATAGTTGGAATATTTTATTATCCCAACTATATTACTAGTATATTATAAGCAGTATATTATTGGTATTGATAGTAATACTTCTATTAGTAGCAACTTCTATTTCCTGGGTATTCTGAAAACTACTTCTCAGACATTCTCATTTAATCTTCTGCTAATCCAGTGAGGTCTGCACTTTTATCCCATTTTATAGAAAAGAGGACCGAGGCTCGGGAAGATTAAGTGACATGTCCCAGGCTATAGAGCTGGCCCAGGGTGATAGAACTGGTAAACATAGAGCCAGAATTTTAGCCGGAACAAAACCGAAGCGGTGAGCCCCATGTTAAAACCCTGTACTGTCAGGGTTTGGAGATCACTTGATTGATGCCCAGAGAGAGGGACAAGGTCCATTAGTCGGTGGTGGGGATGGACCTCTGACCCTTTGGCTGGCCCTGTGAAGACAGATTCTGGGTCAGAGTAGCTCACTGGAGCAGAAAGTACCTTGGTGGAGAATACTCAGTTTGTGTCTGTCTCCGGTATCAATCCCTGCTACCCCCATAGGACCTGTTTCTTGCCAATGCAGAAGGAAAAGGCCGGGAGCTCAAGTCATGAAAAGTGGGGGGCGTTTCCTCTGTGGCCTGTGAATTCCCCTTACCCTCTTCCTGGTCAGAGAGAGTGAAAGAGGGGCCAGTGAGACCCGGGGAGTGGGAGGCTGTGGCCCTGTGTTCTAGGCTTGCTTCATCACTTGGGATTCCCCACCTAGGAATATGGCCATACCTCTAAATTCAACTCTCTCAAAGGATGGGGCCATGTTCAGAGCCAGACAGGCCACCTTAGGCCACAACATCATTTTTTCAAGTGTGATTGCATTCCTGCCAACCTCCCTTCACCCTCCTGCAGCCGCTCCTCCCTTAAGGCCGCTCTGCTCTCTGTTTCTTCTCCTACTTCATCTCTCCCCTTCAACCCTTCTTTCTCCACACGAAAAATGTTACTGCATGAGCGGAAACCTGTCAAATCAATACATGTATTTCACAAATAAATGACAAAATTAGCCAAACAAGGTTGGTCTTCTTGTTTCTGTTGAAAGATTTTTCTCCCTTCTCTGCCTGCTTGTCTCAGCTTTATCTGGAAGCCTAGGTTTGCTGGCCTCAGGGTTGGTCCGTTTAGTAAAACTCTAACCAACTCCCTTCTTTCCAACCTTTATTCCAACGGATGTTGACTCACTTCACCTCACACAGGCGGGAAGCCCCGCTGGTGCAGGAACAAGTGAGGACTGACTCCTTTTTCCTGTTTTGTCAGAGCATGAAGGGACGCCCGCCCCCAACACCCCTTTTTGGAGATGATGATGATGACGATGACATTGACTGGCTGGGGTGAAGACCCAGGAAACTGATACAAAGGTTTCTCTACTGAACCTTCCCTAAGCATGATTTTGCACAGCCAGCCCTGGGTCTCCGTGAGCCACAGGGTGAGGTGAAGGTGAGCATTCTGAGGACAGTAACTCAGATCATCTGAGTTAGCTAACTTCTGAGCCCCCACCTGGCTGGGTGAAGAGGAGTGTGAGCCAGTCTTCAGAATGCTGGGGTTGTCAGCAGCCGACCTGGTCCTGCCTCCGAGTCCCATTTGAAGGAAGGGCTGGTAGGCTCCCCTCCAGTCAGTTACCTACAAGAGTCCTGTCCTCCCAAGCCGTTTATTCTCTTCACTAACTCAGACTGCTATGGGGAGGCCTCCTCCATCTGCCTCCTAACGCTCAACTGTGCCCCAGCAATAGGACCTGGCGCCTGGGGTGCAGTCTCCCTGGTAGAACCAAGGATGGGTTACACCTTCTAAACCCCAGTTAACAGCCTTGCCTGCACTCCTGGCACATTACCTTTCTCTGCCTTAAATCTTTGAAATTAACCAAACAAAAATAAATATATATAATCAAGCTTGACTCAAGCTCTTGGGGAGAAATTGAATTTGGTTCTAAGGGCTGTCTGTGCTCCTCTCTGAGACTCTGAGGGTAGAAGTTGTAACAGATCTGGGTCAGTTAATGTGCATAAAACCGTGGTGACATATTCCCTTTGGTACCTAACCCTGGGACGTGAGGCTTTCAGAACAAAGTCACCCTCCGCTGTCCCTGCTCATCCCAGCTGCATTAAGGCTTAGGGCATGGTGGCTATCTGAGCACCAGTCCTGTCATCCACTCGCGCCTAAGTGTTTGGTCCACCTAGGAAGTCATGCAGGGAAGGTGGCAGGTCCTACATTCCATCCCTCAAGGCCCCTGAGAGACTTCACTTTGAGAGCAGCTTCCATTCCCCCTGAACTCAGGGCCCAGACCAATGAAGAAAACAGGAGCGAGAAAGTATTTTTACTTCTTCAAAGATCTTTCCAAGACCATGCAACCAGTCTTCAAAAAGTAGAGTAATTTTAATAAAAATGCCTGATTTTAAATGTTGATAAGACAGGAATCTGATTTCCACTTTACCTGGCCTGAGGTCATCCTCTGTGATGACAGCTTTGAACCTGCTCTCACACGCGGGGCTGGCGGCAGTGAGATCTACCGTTGACCAGCCCTGGTTACAACAGACACTGTTGTTGAGCACTTTATACAGACTGTCCCATCTCTAGCAACCCTTGCAGAAGACACTGTTATCCCCACTTAGAGAGGCAGCCAGGCCATCTGGCTCTGCCACTTACTGTAACGATACTGTACCAAACTGGCAGGTTGCAAACTGAGGAGAGAGCCCAGCTGGTCAGGACATATAAATGGATGTGTGAAGCTCCATCAGCAAGACTACACTGGACTTTGGAAATCTTACACCTGCTGTGACATCAGCAGCTTTCCAATTCCCTGCAAGGTGGGGAGTGTACTGAAGGCATCACATACTGTCCTATGTTAGAGTTACTTCTTATTGTAAATTAAATCTTGGTTTTGATATATTTTTTGCTTCTGCCCTCAGGGAAAGAAGGTGGTAATAATTGTGCCAACACAGGTATTTATAGTCCATGTTACAGTTACTATTTTTCTCATGGCACCCGATCTCTATTTGTTACATGAACAAAAGCATGACTGTTGCCCTGGCTAGGTGGCTCAGTTGGTTGGAGCATCATCCCGTACACCAAAAGGTTTTGAGTTTGGTTCCTGGTCAGGGCACATACCTAGGTTGCAGGTTCAATCCCCGGTCGAGGCACATCCTGGGGGCAACTGATCGAAATCTCTCTCCCCCTTCCTCTCTCTCTAAAATCAATAAACATATCCTCAGTTGAGGATTGAAAAAAAGAAGAATGACTGTTGACCAGGCTGGTATTGTGGAGTGCCTGCCTGTGGGCCCAGTGTTTCAGGGCTGGGCTTCCCTGAGCACAGGGTTGTCTTCATAGCAGATAGACACTCAGTCCTTAGACAGCCCTACTACCTGCTCCATTTGCTCACTCCGCTCCTGCAGTTGTAAGGGTTATGGGTGCTGTTTGAGTAAGGAGAAACAAGATGAGTCACACACTAATTAAAAATATATATTTATTAAAATGCATTTCTTTTTTAATTCCCAAAGCTTAAGACCATCTTGCATCTAGCCCAGAGGCACCTGAGCGTAGCCGTTACAGTCACAGCAGTGCTTTTCTCTCCCTGGATCTTGTTTCCTTCTCTGTAAAGTGACGAGGTTCCAATATCTGGAGATTCCCGTCTCACTCTACAAGTGTGATGCTTTGGTTTGACTGCTTATTGCATCTTCAGTCAATCCTCCCCCTCCCCCATGACTTACTCAGTATTTTAAGTGAATGAATCGTGTTTGTTATGGGTGAGCAGTACATAATAAATAAATAAAAATTAAGTATTGTTCAGTGCAGTTATCTGTTCTGCATAAAAGGAGGATTGGATAAAAGGAGGCATTAAGGCCATGAAGAGCCCCCAGGCACCTAAAGCCACTGGACTGTCTTCCTCCTGCCAGCAGTGCAGACTGTAGGAGGAGCTCACTCTGTCCACAGGAGCCTTGATCACAGTCCTGCTTTTATCTACTTTTACCTACTGCCACTCTCCTGCCAAGAAAGGGAAACAGGTCCCAGCAGATGCTGCCATCCATCATGAATAAAATGAAACCATTTCATTAAAAATTTTGTTTTGTATTAATGTGCAAAATTGCTAACCAAGAGTTCAGTGGGAAAAAGTGAAAAATCAATCTATCGGCATGACCCATAGAAGAGACAATCTTCACAGGTTCCCAAGGCAGAAGGGTGAGAAAAGGAGCCAGCTTGGTCTCTGTCCCCCAAAGACAGAGGGGGTCAGGAAGTCCAATGGAAGATGCTCCTGTGGGTAAGGCACAGATCAGGAGAGCAAAGGGTTCTTTCACCCAGAACCCATCTCCCTGTCTTGAAGATCTTTGGAAATTCTTAAGTTTTGAGTCACAGATAAGCCCCTGGGTTCTGTTCTCTCCATTCTCCTGCTGGCCACAGCAGCCTTCTAAGGCACAAGACCAGGCCTGGGCTGTCTGGGAGAGGTGGCTGCAATGGCATCTGAACTCCAGGGAGCGAGTGCCTGCTTCAGCTGGAAGTTTCTAGGAGCGGCGAGTGAGGCGAGGAACATCCATCAAAGCAAAAGGAGGCTTAGGCCTGGAAGTACAATGTCTGGAAGAGGGAGCCTCAGCTTTCTCCAGCCCTCAGTGCCTGCACAGCCCTTGCCAGCTAATCTATGCGGAGCAACGGGTAGGCTAGGTAGTAGCCCACAGCCGAGCCCAGGACCACACCAAGGAAAATCCAGGCGTTGTAGGACATTACCGCCAGCATTATGAAGTAGCCAATGACCACCTGAGCGATGTGGATTAGAGACTGGCCAAAGTGACACAAGAACCACCTAGGTAAAAAGGAGAGGCAAGTTAATGTCGGTAACGAGCTGACAGCCAGGGGTTGGTATCAGGAAGTAGGGAGAGATTACAGAACCAGCTTATTTGTAATTTGTATGCGGAACCCAGGAGAGGTTTCTTTTTAAAGAGACATATCAGAAACCACTGATAGAGAGGGACTTGTCCAAGGAGCCTGGGACAATCACTTCTCTACTTAGTTCTGAGCTTTCTGGAATCCTAGGCCAAAAGGGAAAATGAGATATGTAATCTATCCTGTCTGGTAGAGATAATATAAGGTCATTTGCATCAATGTGGCTTTTCCCCTCTGAATCTGTGGTGGGGAGCAGTGTTACAATGGTAAGAGCAGTATTACAATGGTAAGAATTGGGATCCCAAATGGTTGCCCTAGCAGGATGGGACGGGAAGAAAGGACAGGACAGAGAGGCTGCTTGCTCCCCCACCAATGTGGGTACATTGCTGACAGCAGTTCTTAACCATTTGTGGGGACAGCTGCAGATCCCATCCTGGGTTTGTAAGCCTTAGTGACCTGAGGGAGCCTAATGAGATTTAGGGGAGGGCTGGGTGGACACCCCTGTTGCTGGACTGAGGCCTGTGCCAAGTGCCGAGCCTCCCAAGTGGCCGTTCATACAGCGAGTTCTGGCCTGGGCAGCTGGAGATCTGGGCTCTAGTTCACCTCGCTACTTACTAACTAAGCACTTTGACAAGTACCCGTCCTTCCTGAGGCCTCCATTTCCTTTCTGAGCCTTGGGGTTAATGTCCTCTGGGCCCACCCCACCGCTCCAGTGAAGGTGGGTATTCTGCCCATTTCCCACACCCCATGCCTGTTACCTGAGGCCGGGTCTGCTGACTGGGGGTAACTCTGAGCTTGAAGAAGAACCCTGGTCTGTCTCCTCGCGCTGCTGGCTGGTGGAGGTGGGCATGCTCACCAGGCTCTGGTGGAGTAGCTTGGCTTTGCCAAACTTGATGCTTTCATACAGCACAGCCAGGAGCAGGATCACCAACACAGAAAGGGCCATGCCTATCAAAGGATGCAGAGTTACAGAGACCTGGCCAGGCAAGCACTGCTCCCCTCCCCGCAGCTTCCCAGGGACCTGTCAGGTGGCAGCACCTCCACCCATTCCCTCTGAGTCCACTCCATCTCCCTGTCTTGCAGCTTCTTCCCCACCCCCTTTGGGCTCAGAGCTTCTGCACTGTGTCTTTCCCCTCCCAGTCCTTTCTTGGTAGGGTTGGCCCACTGAACTGTGGCTCTGAGATCAAGAAGAGTATCTGCCTGAAAAAGCCAGGGCCGAGAGTGAAGCCATACACCACCGCCCCCAGCTGCTCCCCCAGCAGGCGGCACAAATCTATCAGGACTTCTCGTTAAGGGAAGAGCAGTACAGCAAGGTCCTGTCTAAGTGCAGTACACAGAGAAGTCTGGAGGAAGGAAAGATTTACAACAAAGGAGCATAATGATCTCAGCAAATTCAGATATGGGAGGTTTTTAGTCTCAAGTAATTTTCCAAAGTTTCTACTGTGTGTATTACTTTCATACTAATGGGAAACCCCAATAAATTATTTTACCAAAACGTTAAGTGCTTATTAGAGCTGCTGTGTAAAATTAATTGCTAATTGCTACTTCTATTGTACACTAGGACTTTATTGGGCTCCCAGGAGGAAATCATCTCCGAAAGAGGCAGGTTTTTAAAATCTAAAATTACAAGTAATTACACCACATGGTAATAAATTCAAACAGTGCAAAAGGGTTTGCAGTGAAAAGTAAGTTTTTTCCCCAGCCCAGTCTCCCAAACTCCAATTCTTCTCCCCAGAGCACCTCTGTTAGCAATACCCTGAAGAGCCTTCTAGGGATACAAAATCTAGGGATACAAAATATAGGATGGAGCAAAAGTAGGTTTCCAGTTGTTCATATGGAAAATCCTATATAATAAAGAGCTAATATGCTAATTAGGCTGAACAGCTGAACGACCTTCCAGACGAAGCCGGGGCTGCAAGGGCTGAGCCCTTGCATTGGGCCTTTAGTAATATAATAATTAATAAATAATAAAAAAAGAACAAATTCTGTGCTTTGTGTGCTCACAACTTTAAATCTACCTTCAGTTTCTTCCCTGTAATAGAGGGGAAAACTGCATCCCTGGCCTCTCTCTGGGCCAGTGGTTCTCAACCTTCTGGCCCTTTAAATACAGTTCCTCATGTTGTGACCCAACTATAAAATTATTTTCATTGCTACTTCCTCACTGTAATGTTGCTACTGTTATGAATCATAATGTAAATATCTGATATGCAGGATGGTCTTGGGCACCCCCTGTGAAAGGGTCGTTTGACCGCCAAAGGGGTCGCGACCCACAGGTTGAGAACCGCTGCTCTGGGCCTTTGTGAGGATCAGTGAGAAAATGGAGCCCTTTGCAATCTGAAAGGCAGTGGTTGCAACCAGAATCATAAATGCAAAGTTCCCACTCGATGTTTATGCGAGAGGAATCAGACTTATACCAATAAAGAGCCCAGGTTCTCCCTTGCCTGAAGCTGGAAGGCTTCCCAATGCTTACCTGCAGGGCTGTGGACATTCCAGAAATCAAAGAGAAGCACCACCTTATCTGAGAAGAAGAAATG